GCTGGAGACGGCGCTCGCGGAGGCGGCGGCGTCGAGAGAACGCGCGCTGGAGACGACGTCGGTGGAGCGCGGCGAACGCGAACGCGCGGAGAAAGAGTTGGCGTACGTCCGGGACGCGCTCGAGCGCGCGGTGGGGGAGAAGGAGGCGGCGATTCGGGAGGTCCACGCGCGGCGCGTCGCGGCGGAGACGCGAGAGAAGGCGCTGGGGCGGGAATTGAAACGCCTCGAGCGGGACTGCGCGCGATGGGCGACGCGGGCGCGGGAGCTCGAGCGAACGAGCGCGCGCGATGACGACGATCGAGCGCTCGAGGATGAGGTGCGACGTCTCGAGCGCGAGTGCGCGCGGTGTCGAGCGGCGACGCGACGGGCCGAGGCGGAACGCGACGCCGCGACGCGCGCGCTCGATGACGCCGAGCGACGACTCGCGCGCGGGCGTCGTCGTCCAACGCGGGACGACGACGAGGATGATGAGGATGCGGATGAGGATGACGACGACGACGACGACGACGACGACGACGACGACGAACGCACGTCGAGCGCGCTCGCGGAGGCATCCGTGGATGATTTCTTCGCCGAGGACGACGCCGAGGACGCGCGCATCGACGCCGACCGCGCGCGCGCGCGCGCGCTCGCCCGCAGACTCGAGCGCGTGCGCACGCGCGCCGTCGCCTTGTTCTCCTAGACCCGAATCTCGCGTCGACGTCGTCGAGCGAATGCGTGATTGACCGAATGCGATTGATGCATCATCATTCACTGCGTTCGCATCACTTCCCGACGCCGATGCCCCGGGCGCGGGCGTCGGCACCCGCCCCACCCCCGCCCACGTTCGATGTCGTCCACGGCGAGGAGTCCCCGGAGGCGATGCGCGCGCGACACGCCCGCGAACTCGCCGCGATCGAAACATTTGTGAAGACATTCGGTCGAGGCAAAGGCGCGCGCGACCGCGCGTTGCGCGCCGTCGGCGCGGTGACGGATCGACACCTGGACGAGATGCGGGCGTTTGAGCTCGCGCGCGCGGACGCGGGTGACGACGAGGACGAGGACGACGAGGACGCGGCGGACGGGACGGCGGACGGAGACGCGGACGCGGCGGCGACGCGATTGGCGACGCTGGACGTGGACGCGACGCGCGAGGACGAAAGCGGTGATGCGATGGGTGAAAAGAAGATGACCAAGGCGGCGCGGCGACGGATGAAGCGCGAGGCGGAGGAACGCGAGCGTGAACGGAGAATTGAGGCGGAGAAGGCGGCGCTGGGACCGAGCGCGGAGACGTCGGAGCGCGAGACGTTGCGACGCAAGCTCCAACCGCTCGGGCTCGCGGTGAAGGAGATTCGAGCGGATGGACACTGTTTGTATCGCGCGATCGACGATCAGTTGACGATGGTTCGAGGACGCGGACACGAGGGCGGATACACGGGTTTGCGAGAGACGTGCGCGCGGACGATGCGCGAGGACGAGGACGCGTTCAGACCCTTCGCCGAGGACGGGTGCGGGGAGGATGACGACAAGTGGAACGATTACGTGCGCGCCGTCGAGAGCACGGCGACGTGGGGGGGGCAGTTGGAGCTCATGGCTCTGTCCAAGGCGCTGGAGCGACGGATATCGGTGTACAGCGCGACGATGCCGACGGTCGTCATGGGCGAGGAGTTCGCGCCGGAGGGCGAGCTCAGGGTGGCGTATCATCGACACGCGTTCGGTCTGGGCGAACACTACAACTCCGTCGAGGCGGCGGGACGGTGACTATTTTATTAATATTATTTCAACGAGTGAAAGAAATGCGAGAAGAAAGAAGCGAAGAACAACGCGGCTAGTCGGGCGATGACGCTCAGTTCATATCCGTCGCGTGCGCGAATAAACCGAGGAGACCGCCCAGGACGATCACGAGCGGGGCCTGGAGCAAGGTCCACCACCCCGGCGGTAACTTTACGATGTGCGCGCAAAAGGCGCAGATGAGCGCGATGGACGTCGTGGCGTTCGGGAACGGGCTCAGCGCGCGCACCTTGAACGCGATGTTAAACGCGGCGGCGACGACGAGACCCACCGCGCTCGCGTTCAACCCGGGCAACGCGCGCTTATAGACGTCCCATTTCCTAAATCGTCCCCAAAAAGGCATCACGGCGAAGATGAGAATCACCCCCGGGCCGAACAAGCCGAACCAGGCGCACGCGACGCCGACGAGGACGTTCACTCCGGCGCGTCTCGCCGCGACGGCGCCGAGATACGCGCTGAGATTAAACAACGGCCCCGGAGCCGCCTGCGCGAGCGCGAGACCGGCGAAGAATTGCTCCTCGGTGACCCACGACGTGGCGCGCTCCGTCTTCGTCCACGCCGCGCACGCGTCGGTGACGGCGTCCCTCGCAGAGCACGTCGTGTCGTATTGCACCACGTCGTTGAGCAGGAGCGGCAACACCACCTGTCCACCGCCAAAGATGATCGATCCGGTGCGATAAAACGCCTCGAACCAGTGTAACTCTTTATTCGTCTCGTACGTCGTGTTCGACACGTACACGCCGAGTCCGACGAGCGCGGACGCCCAGGCGAGGATCATGAACCCACCCGCGAGCGGGGACAGGCCCAGGCGCGTGACCTCCTCCGCGTCATCATCACGCGGGTCCGAAGTCGCGTCACCATCGCGCGCGTTCGTCGTCTTCGCCGCCGCCGCCGCCCGCGCGGCTTCGACGTACGTCGCCACCCCTCCGAACGCGATCAACGACGGGAACAACCACGCCCGCGACGCGTACGTCGCGCACGCCGCCGAAAACGCACACAACAACCGCGTCGTCCGCGTCTTCCCCCCCTGACTCCTCGCCAGGGAATCCGCGGCGCTAAAAATCAACGACGCCCCCCCCGCGGATAACCCGGCGGTGAACGCGCGGGCGACGACCCCCGGGCGCGTCAACGCCTCCGCCGCCCCCGCGCCCGCGAGCGACATCAACACCAACCCCGGGTACTGAAACAAAATACCCGACGTTAATCCACCCAAGGTCCCGGCGCGCGCGATGCCGATCGCGAACGACATCTGCGTCGACGTCGGTCCGGGTAAACACTGCCCGAGGGCGAGGAACTCCGCGAACGTCCCTCTGGAGAGCCATTTCATCGACGCCTCCGCGTCCGCGTCCGCGTTCACCGCCGACGCGTCGTCGCGGACGAAGACTTTTGAGAATAACCCGACGTGCGCGGCGGGGCCGCCGAAGGCGACCCAGCCGATGAGGCTGAAGGCGCGCGCGACGACGGCGAGCGGTGAGGCCTCCGATCGCGTCGCCGCGTTCGTCTCCGCGCGCGCTCGCGATGCGCCGAGCTCCATCGCGGTCGTGGGGTCGACGGGCGGCATCGCGCGCGCGCCGGTCGCGGCGACGGCGACGCGCGCGCGTGTGCGGGGCGCGTGAAAGAATGAATGATGCGCGAATGGTGAATGAATGAATGAATGAATGCGTGCGTGGACGCGCGCGCGCGTCCATCGACGGATCCATCGACGCGCGCGCGCGAGCTGGACGTCGTCGGCGACGGCGCGCGAGGGACGGTGGACGCGCGCGGCGTCGACGCGGCGTCGACGCGGCGGACGTCGGTGATGGATGACGTGTTGCGTGGAATGGTGAGTCGTGACTCGTGACGAGGGACTCGATGCGGGAGCGTTTTTTCAAGCGTTTTATTGGGAAACGCACGCGCGCCGCACACCGCGACGCGACGCCGACGACGCGCGCGCGCGATGCCGAGCGCGGCGGAGGACGATGGGGGTGATTTGTATCGAGCGCTCGGGTTGACGCGAACGGCGACGCGAACGGAGGTGGGTGAACGGGTGAACAGTCGACGACGGTCTCGGTGGCTGTTTTATGAATCACCGCGCGGCGCGGCGCGCGCGAGGGGTGACTGACGACGACGACGGCGACGACGACGACGTAGGTTCGACGGGCGTATAGGAATTTAATCACCAAGGTACACCCGGATAAGGGTGGGGACGCGGAGGCGTTCGCGAACATTCAACGCGCGTACGACGTGCTGAGCGACGACGCCAAGCGCGAGCGCTACGACGAGACGGGTACGTTTGAAAAGACGGTCGAGGAGGAACTCCTGGATGAATTCGGTGGCGGCGTTTTCAGGGATAAACTCAAGGAGGAGCAAGAGCGCAAGGAATCCCTCGCGGAGGCGATCGTGAAGACGGAGCGCGATAAGGGGTCGCACACGGCGGGGTTCGAGGCGTGGCTTCGAGCGCGCGGTCCCGACGCGAGCAAAACCTTGGGCGTAGACGACATGATCGATCGATTCGGCGTGAACAAGGGTTCGTACGATGAAGTTATTTTACCGAAGATTCGAGCCTATCGCGTCGGCGCGTCCGCGCCAGGGAAGTTTGAGCTGAGCTCGGAGGCGATTCCGCCCACGCTCGAGTGGGGCGAGGTCCTCGTGAACATCCGCGTGGCGCCGATCAATCCCGCGGACGTCGACGCGAGCGCGATGGCGAAGCGCGGGAAGTTCCCGTACATCGCCGGTTCCGACGGCGTCGCCACGGTCGTGAAAGTCGGCGCCGGGGTGAAATCTCTGAACGAAGGAGACTGGGTGTTTCCGTACGCCGGCGATCTCGGAACCTGGCGCTCGCTCGCGGTTTGGAAAGAGAAGGATCTGATCAAGATTCCCTCGGACATTCTCCCGTTCGAACACGCGGCGATGATTCGCGAGATGTGCGTCGCGTATCGCCTGCTCGAGGATTTCGGAAGCCTCAAGCCCGGAGACGCGGTCGTTCTCAACGCGGCGACGTCCACCGTCGGCCAGTGCGTCGTGCAGCTGTGCTCGATGCTCAAGTTACGAGCGATCGCGATCGTGCGCGAACGCAAGGATTTCGAAAAGACGGAGGCTTGGTTGAAGTCGCTCGGTGCTTCCGAAGTGCTCAAGGACGAGGGATCGCTCGCGCGCGAGTTGACGTCGAGGAACTTATTCGCCAAGCCGCGCTTGGCGCTCGACGCCGTCGGCGGCGCCTCCGCGGTGCGTCTCGCCGAGTCGCTCCAAACCGGATGCCCACTCATCGTGTACGGTAACATGAGCGGCATGGCGGCGACGTTCCCTTGGAGCGCTTGGACGCAAAACGCCCTCATCGTCCGCGGATTTTCGCTCAGACAGTGGATGAGCGATCACAAGAAGAAGGTGCCCAAGATGCTCGAGACGCTCGGCAAGCTCTCGCGCGCCGACAAGCTCGCGATTCAATACACCGATTACGAGCTCGCATCCGAGTTCGAGGAGGCGCTCGAGCATGCGCGTGAAGATTTCAAATCCACGAAAATCTTACTTCGCGTGAACGACATCGGAACGACGTACGACGGCGCCGGCGGCGCGGCGCCGCCCGCGTGATCGACGCGAGCGCGCGCGTCGACGAGCCATCCATTGAGACGTCATCGCGGGAATCGAAAATTACGCGAACGCGACGATGCATCAAAGGTGCGAACGATCTATGAAATAAGCATGAGCAAGTATGTTACGATTATAACATCTTCCCCTCTTGAATGAACCGAAAAAGACGTCTCTCCCACCCGCGCGCGGTCGCGACGAATGGCGCCCCGACCACCGGGTTCGCGACACTCGATGACGACGTCATTCACATCAAACGCGTGTTCGACGCAAAGTCAACCATCACCTCACCTCGCTTTACGAGCTAAACGCTTAGTAGAGTTCTTCCTCCATGTGCGTCTTGACGGTGCAGTCCGACGTCGGGTAGGCGACGCACGTGAGCACGAAGCCGTTGCCCATTTGGTCGTCATCCAAGAAGGATTGGTCGGACTGGTCGATGGAACCGGCCTGCGAAGACGTTAAAACGACGTTGAAAAGTCAGTCACCGCGCGATCGACGCGCGCGCGCGCGCTCGAGACGCCCTCTTCGCGACGCGACCGTCGTCTTATCCACTGCTCGTGGTGGGCACACATCCACGAGAAAAGACTCAAGAAGACCCCCCCCTCACGTCGACACGGCCCACACGGTCGATGACGTCGCTCGCGACGGACGCACCGTGACCTTGCCCGCGCAGGACGAGCACGCGCCCGCGCGGCACGAGTACGGCAAGTCGATGCCGGCTTCCTGTCGCACGCGAAAGCACGCGGAAATATCCGTCAGTCGCGCGTTCGCCCGGCGCGTGCCGTCGACGCATCGGCCGTCGATGGGTGATTACCGACCGACCGATCGCGATCGCGATCGCGACGCGCATCGACCATCATCCGACCCCCGCGCGCGCGCGCCGCCGCGCGCCCGCCCGCGCGACGCCGCGCGAAGACGCATAGAATTACCCCCCACCCATCCATCGTCCGCGCGCATCGAGACCTACCTCAGCGGCGTCGAGGATGTACGTATCGTCGGCGCACTCGATCTCTTGCTTGCCCTCCGGGGTTTCGAGCGTGACCTTGTATTGCGCCTTCACCGATCGCGGCTTTTGCGCGGCGGTGCGGCGGGCGTTGATCGTCACCTTGGCGGCGGCGAACTTGGCGGAGACGGACATGTTCATGGCGGACATCGTGCGTGAGACGGCGACGGGGCGTCGAGGAGTGCGCGCGTCGATGCGCGCGATGGGTTTTTCGAGCGACGTCTCGGGACTCGTCGTCGAGTCGTGACCCACCGATTATACCCACACCCCAGGGTTCGCGGCACGACGACACCGTCGAAACGTGTGTGACCACTTTTCGTCGACGACGACGACATCTCATGGCGCTTCGCGCGCGTCTCCCGCGCGCGCGCGCGTCGACGACGACGCGCGCGCGTCCGCGACGCGGGTCCACGGTCGCGCCCGTCGATCGCGCGCGCGCGCGCGCGCGGGCGAGCGAGGACGAGGACGGGGGCGCGCCGTCGTCGACGTCGACGGGTGACCCGTTCGGGTTCGGTGACGCGCGAAACCAAGGGCCGACGCCCATCGTCCCGGGGTTCGACACCGCGGAGGGTGGGAAGGTTGGGCCCGTGGGCACGGCGGTGATTTCGTTGGTGTTGTTCGTCCTGTTCGGTGGGTCGTTTTTTTTCACGAGCGTCCCGAGGGGGGCGGTGGAGGAGATGGCGCGCGCGGCGCTCGCGGACGACCCGAACGCGCCGACGAACGTCGTGTCGAGGGTGTGACGGCTGGGGGTGGTGATGTAGTGTACATTTTTTAATGTGATATTTTTTGGTCGTTTGGGCTACAGCGCGAGCGTTGTGCGGGCGATTGGTGAGTCGAAAAAGTCGGCGAGCGCGTCGCCGAGGGGCGCGCCGGAGACGACGCCGAGCGCCTCGACCGCGCTCGATGCGATCACGCGCAAAGCATCGACGTCGTCGTTCAAGTTTAGACTTGCGAGTGCTCGCGCCGCTAAGCGCTCGCGCGCGGGCGCGAGGGCGTTCGATCGGAGCACGGCGTCGCCGGCGTCCGCGGCGGCCATCGCGCGCTTCCGCGGCGCCGACTCATCCTCATCCGAATCGTCGACGACCGGTTTCCTGACATCGAGACATCTCGCGACGTGCGCAAAGAATCGCTCGCGTTTCGTCTTGTCTTCTCTGAGCGCTCGAAGGAGGACGTCGCCCGCGGCGAATTCCAGTCTCGCCATCGCGCCGAGCGACGCGCTCGAGTCGTTTTGATTCCTGGCGAACACGTACGCCGCGTCGACGATGTCTACGATCTCATCGATCGCCTTTCTCGGCGCCCCCGATATTTTGCGAACATCATTGCACGCGGAGATGCACGCGAGCGAACGTGCGATGACGTTACTAGCGTGCGGGAGGTCCAAGATGACGGCGTCCACGACGACGCCACGTCTGAGCGCTCGGCACAACTCGCCCCACGTTTCTTCGCTCTCATCCCGACGACTCGACGCCACTTTCGCGGCTTCTCGGAAAGATTCCAACGATTTCATCACCGCGTACGAATCGTTCGAGTGCAACACCGCGCTCGCAAAGGACCAAATCGTCGGGAGCAACGCCTCGTACGCCGCTCGGCGCGATTTTGCGAGTGCGAGTAAACGCGGAAGCACGATTTCGGTCGCGTGCGTGGGATCAATCTTCACCTCGAGCAATCCATCGAGTGCGCCTCGAAGTTCGTCGCGAGCGTTCACGTCAAGCGTTTCGATCTCATCGTCGTCAAAGAGCGAGAAGACGACGGCAAGCGCTGAATCGTCCACCTTGGAGAGCTCGCCCAGGGCGCCGCAGATCGCGGTCCAAATCGCGCTCACTCTGTACTTCACGCAGTCAGACGTCGCGCTCATTCGCGAGCGGCACTCGATCGCGATCGTGCGGAGAGAATCGATCGGAGGCGAGAGCGTTCCTTGCTCGCCACCCTCGGAGACGTTGCGCCATCGAGCCATGGCAACGAAGAGCGATGTCGCTCTTGGGACGCACGAGAGCGGGACACCGAACACATCGCTCTCTTCGTTCTCCGATTCGTCCGTTGATGAATCATCGCGGGTGAGGGCGAGGACAAGGGCCTGCTCGAGTGCTCGACACGACGTCACCATCTCCTCCTCAAGCGTCTCCTGTGTCTCCGCGTCGTCTCGCGAACAATCAATCGCATACGCCGCTCCCAAAGCCTCCATCGCCGGCTCCCATCCCTGCCCGAGCACATCGCCGTAGTTGTGCATTGCTTGTGCGACGCACGACACCACGAGTCCTCGAGATCGAGCGGTGCGCGCGTTTTCAATGGCGAACACGAAGGGCCGCATCGCGTCCATTTGCGTTGCCGAGCGCGTTGCTCGAGCACGTAAGAGCAAACGATCAGCTACTTGTCTCATCGACACCGTGGCATGTAAGACGACTTTTTCGTCCGCGTGTTTAACTGCCTCTACAAGGTGCTCGGAAACCACGCTCCAGAGCTTTGACCACACGAGACGGACGCGCGACATGTTTGTCGCTGCCACCTCTGTGAGACGCAACAGCGCAAAAATCTTCGCTGGCGCGCTCGAGGAGCTCCAAAGCCCGTGTCTAGACACCGTCGCCACTGCCGTGGCATAGGTCAAGATCTCGTCCGAGTCGAATCGCGTGCTCGCGGCGAACACTCGCTCGATAGCCTCGCCACCGTGCGTGGAGACCCACTTGATCACCGCAAGCTCGGCGGGATCAAGCTGAGACAGCGGATGCCCCGGCGTACCGTCGAACGACGATCGATCGGAGCTCACCGAACGATCAGTGGCATCGTTTTCATCGAACTCCAGTCGTTCTCGCATGACGGCGCGCGCAGCGGCGAAATCAAAGGCGACGCCGGCGCCGACGACAGAGCGCAGATGCTCAAGGCGGTCGATGATCTCCAACACGCTCGCCCACGCCTGAACGCCGCCGAGACTGCACTCGCTCGTGGCGAGTTCGAGTAAAGTGCTTAACGCTTCCTTACTCTGCGACGAAATTCCCTGAGGTCGGCCGAATCCCGGAGCGGTAACGAGGAACGCGCGCGTGTTGTCCCTGAGCGCAGGAAGTTGAAGCGTCGTGGCAAGTGAGAGCATTGCTCGCGTGGCCTCGAGCGGCATCGCGGCGTGCGCCGCGTCCGGCGCGGACGTGAACGCGGTGGACAACGCGATGAGCATGAACTTGCCCGCAACATCTAGCATCGGTCGCGCCAGACCGGGTTCGGAGGCGCGGACGAAGAGCGCACTCGCTGAGTCGTCGTGCGCCGCGGAGTCGCCCGGACCAGAAGTCTTGAATAACTCCTTGGTAGACTTCAAGAGCTCAGCAGTTTCATTGGTCGCCTCTTTTTGCATCGATCGTGCCTTCCAGGGCGCTGCAAAGTTGAGTGATGACGTGAGTTGGGACCACGACGTCTGCGGCGGATGTTTCGCCGCCGCCGCAATCTCGGCAGCGACGTCCGTGGCCGATGAAACCCGCGCCGGGGGTTCAGCCGAGTTCATCTTGATCTCTTTCGCGCACACGCGCTTATAAATTGCAGCGATCTTCTCGGCGTCGACCTCAGAGGCCGCCTCCGCGGCGGTCACCATGAGCACGAAATCCTGCTCGCTCATCTTCATCGCCTCCTCTGTGAGCGGATTGTGCGCGTCTGTGTTCAGCATGACGATGGCGAACGCCAGAATGTACGCCGCATCCGTGCTCGGATACACATTTTGATTGCACGCGCAAAATCTCGCGGCGAACGCCTCCATCAACCGATCGATCTTTTGTGCCTCGCCCGGAAGCCTGAAACCACTGAGGAACGCGCGCATGGCGTCGTCGATGTGCGCCCCCGTGAAATCAAAGCCGTGCACGTACGCGCGCATGACAGCGAGCGCATCTGAATCGGGCGATCCTAGGAGTTCGCCCAACGCGCTCGGACTCACCACCAAAGACGAAGTCGCCTTGCTCGAGGCGGTCGAGGATGACGCCGAGCGCAAAAACGCCGCGCAAGCGACCGCGTCCTCCGACCGCGCGGCGACGCGAAGCGATCGGACGTTTGGCTCGGCGTTGAACGCCTCGATCGCCCTCTCCGCCGAAATCTTGGCGGACTTTTTCGCGGCGAAGAGCTCGGACTCCGACTTGGTCGGCGGCGATGACGCCGCCGCCGCGTCTTCCGAAACCGCCGTCGCATCCGTCGCCACTGTCGCCGTTGCCGCCGCGACGGCGGCGGGCGTCGACGTCGTGGACGCCTCGTTTGATTTTGACGATGACGAAAGTTTGTCTTTCGATGGTTTTCGACCGATGAAAGGTCGAATCTCGAGGCCATCATTCTGATCGGCGTCGCCCGCGCTCTCTTCGTCCTCGTCGTCGTAGCCGCGGGCGCACCAGCTCTGAAGCGACCGTAAAATGCTAAACAAACACGTGAGCACGGCGTCACGCTCTAAGATGTCGTTCGTCTGCGCCGCGCGCGCGAGCGCGGCGACGGTGCGCTCGTACAGGTTCGCCGCGTGCAAGTCGCAGTCGTAGTTGACAAAAAAATCAACCAAGATTTGCGCCTCGCTCGCGAGACGACGCACCAGACGAAGCGCTGAGACGCGAACCGCCGCACTCGTCTCGTCAGTCTCGAGCGGATGTAACGCCATGATCGGGTAGAGCGCTGCGATCTGTTGCTTCCACACCGAGCGCGCGCGTGAGACGAGAACGCCGTACGCCATGCGCGCGATGGATACCAATATCCCCACCGATTGCTCCGCCTCAGATCCGCGAGGAACGTGTAACAGCGCGTTTCGCATGAGCGCCATCGAGAGCGGTTTCGACAACTCCCCGTGGAAGTGGTCGAGCCACAACGGCGCCCGCGGTCCCTCCATGAGTTGGCGTAAAATGTCCAACGCCAAGGCTTTGGAGTGCGTCAGGTACGCGTCGACGTCGATCGGTCCGTCCCTCGCCGCAATCTTACACAACATGATGAGAATCTGTTTCACGTCCTCCAAGTGCAAACGACGATTCGCGCTCACGTCTTCGGACGCGGCTAACGCCTCGAACCCACGCTCGGCGCGCTTGAACGCGGCGTTGATTATTTGCGTGAGCGTCGTCTTCGCCGCGCGTCGCGCGTTCTCATCCTCAGCAATCATCGCCACGTGAAATATCGATCGCGTGGCGTACAACAGCGCGTTCCCTCTCACCACGAGCGTCTTCTGTCCCTCCCCATCGTCTCCCGATTCCCCCGACGTCTCCGGATCTTCCGTCTCGCCGCACGCGCACGCCTGGGCGAACCGCGTCGCCGCGACGCCGCACCGCGCTCGATCTTCCCCCGTCTCCCCCCCCCCCCCCTCCCCACCTCCCGATAATTCACCCACTCCACACACCGCGCGCACGAGGCGAGCGCGCGCGTCATCGCTCGCCGCGTCGTCCCCGCCCGCGTCTCGCGCGACGCCGCGTCCGAATCCGCGTTCAATCAACTTAATCGCCGTCTCCGCCGCCAACGCCGATCGTCGCCCCCGACGCTCGCGCATCGCGAACGCGAGCGCGTCCAACGCCGTCGTCGCCACCGCGCGCGCGCGGGCGTCGTCGGCGTCGTCCAGGTCTTGGACGATCCCATCGCATCGCTGGAGCAGCGCCCGCGCGTGATGATTCGCGAATCCAACGCGCGCGAGCACCCCCAGGTCCTCGCGCGCGGCGTTGACGAAGGCGAGAAATATCTCTCGCACCGTCACCGCGTCCGCGTTCGCGTCGGCCATCGCGCGCGCGTCGGCGAGGCGATGATTCGGGCGCGCGTCGTGGGCGATCGATTCCAAAGGTGATTCCAAAGGTGATTTTCACGCCCCGTCGACCGGTGGGGATCCCTTTGCGACGCACGCGTGCCTTTCGATCGATCCCTTTCGATGCGACGCCGCGGATCGTCGCGCGCGACGACGATGGCGATCGCGACGCGGGCGATGGTGACGCCGACGACGCGTAGGTGGAAGGTGGCGACGCGCGCGCGGGGCGAGCGCGCGGACGACGGGGGCGAGACGGGACGACGGACGATGATGATGATGATGATGATGATGATGATGTCGAGCGGGACGACGACGGCGTGGACGGCGCGCGCGCGCGCGGCGAGCGCGAACGCCGGGACGGACGATGTCGTCGATCCCTCGATAGAGGCGCGGAGGCGAAAGATGGAACGGCGAGTGAATCGGATGCGGCGGGTGGACGCGGCGAGTCGAATCGAACGCGAGGCGCGAGACGCGGAAAACGAACGGGCGAGGGTGACCTACGCCGAGTTCGCGGCGAAGAAGAAGGCGAAGATTAGACTTGAACGTGAGGGTGAGCTCACGGCGGAGGAGATCGAGCGGGAGGCGGCGCGGCAGGGTGAGATGGCGCGCGAGCGCGCGCGGCGCGGCGCCGAGGCGGAGCGCGCCGAACTCCGGGAGTACGAGGAACTCCTCGCGCGCAGACGTCGAGAGGCGGCGATGCGCGCGGAGAATGGAGACGTGGGATGGTATCGCGATTGATTTTTGTTAAAGGGACGATTCCGCGACCGCGACCGCTCACTTGAAGACCTCGTCGAAACCCAACACGCGCGGGACGAGGTAGACCAACAACTGTCGAATCGCCGCCGACTCGCCGTAACTCACCGGAACGCTGAACCGTTGTTGCCCGCGATTCTCACTGAGCGTCACCGTGAGATTCACAAACATCCCCCCCGAGCCATCCGGCATGGGTTCAACCTTGAACGCCTTTCCCAGCGTCCCGCCGCCGCCGCCGTTCGCCTTTGCCGAGTCGTGAAAAAACGAGCACGACCCGTTCGCCGCCATGCGATCCGCCAGCTCCGCCGCCTCCGTCCCGCTCAGCATGAAACTCCCTTTATTCTGCCAATCGTACGTTCTCGGCGCCGTCGCGTTCGCCAGTTCCAACAGGACCCCGCCCGGGCGTCGCACCACCGCGTTTTCGCCCAGCGCCCCGAGCGTCGGGCGCACCGCCTTCATCTTCATCGCCCCTCGCGTCTTGTACACCCCAAAATCCACAAACGTCGTCGGCGGCGGCGCGCGTCCATCGTCCCGTCGCGCGCCGTCGTCCCACGACCGCGGCGGCGGCGTGGACGCCCCGTACGCCGTCGACGACGTCCAACGGTGATGACGTTCGCGTCGATCGCCATCCCGCGGTCTCGGGCGTCGATCGCGCGCGCGATCGGCGCGCGCGACGTCCGCGGACGTCGACGCGCGACGAAGCGCGCGCGCGGTGGCCGCGCACGTCGTCCCGATCGCGCGCATCGCCCGTCGCGCGCGATGTGCCGCCGGCGCGCGACGGGCGGACGGGCGCGTCGCGTACTGTGGAGGTATTACAGCCATGTGTACACACCGACGGGTGCGTCGGGTGTCCCCATCGGGGTGCCGCGAACACACACACGGGGTGAAAGCACGCAAAGTACGTAAAGACTAAAGACGTCCCCATCGGGGTGCCGCGAACACACACACGGGGTGAAAGCACGCAAAGTACGTAAAGACTAAAGACGTCCCCATCGGGGTGCCGCGAACACACACACGGGGTGAAAGCACGCAAAGTACGTAAAGACTAAAGACGTCCCCATCGGGGTGCCGCGAACACACACACGGGGTGAAAGCACGCAAAGTACGTAAAGACGTCCCCATCGGGGCGCCGCGCGCGCGACATCGCGCCGGGCGACGCCTCGATGTCGAGCTCGATCGCCCCCGCGCTCGCGTCGATGTTCGCGCGAAAAATCACGCTCGTCCCCAACGTCGCCGGAGAACGAAAGCGCCGCGCCGGCGTCATCGAGTGCGCGCACAAGAAAGGGACGGGGTCCACGAAGAATGGCCGCGATTCCAATCCGCAGTACCTCGGGGTGAAGAAGTACGGCGAGGAGAAGGTCACGGTGGGCTCGATCATCGTCCGACAGGTTGGGAATAAATTCCACGCGGGCGAGGGCGTGGGGACGGGGCGAGACTTCACGCTGTTCGCGCTGCGCGAGGGTGAGGTGCGATTTAGGGTTGGGGCGAATAAGAAGAAATACGTCACGGTGGTGGATGGCGTCGATCGCTCGGGACGAGAGGATGGGGCACCGACGCGGAAGGATAAGCGTCGGGCGATGTACACGCCGCGCGCGGTGGTGCGAGAGGCGTTGGAGCGCGGGGAGGAGGTGCCGAAGAGGGCGGCGACGGCGACGCGCGCGGCGGCGACGGCGCGAAAGACGCGCGCGACCGAGGCGGCGACGCGAAAGAAGACGCTCGCGCGGACCGGGTCCGCGGCCGCGCCGAAGGGTTTTTACCGCCAGGTGAGCAAGGTGCGATATTGCAACCTCTCGCTGTTATTGATGGATGAGATCATGGAGACGAACGGCGTCATCGTCAAGGCGGATGCCGAAAAGTTCTACGAGCACATGCTCGACGGACCTGGCGTGACCCCGACCGAACTCGCATCGTTGGAATTCGTGCTCAACGGTGGCGGCGGACCGTACACGTACGTCACCGACGCCGAAGCCAAAGCGTTCCTCGCGGAGAAGATCGCCCAGACGCGCGGCGAGCTCGAGTCCGACGCCGGCGCGAGGTAAATCGAACGAATCCCGAAATTACCTGAACGCAATTAATATTGATTTTACTTTAACGCACCAACGTCGTGATCGCTACGTCCCACGCGCGCGTCGCGGTCGTCGCGCGCGGGTCACGGGCAAAAATAATACCCATAACTTTTGCGTCGTTACCGCTTACGATTCTGGGTGTACGTCGATTTAGCCCTTCCATCCCATATCAAGAGCACTCGTGGTCTAGTGGTAGAATAGCCGCCTGCCAACCAAATTGGCAACGGCTGGCGCGTTCGTTCGCGCTACACAATGAATCTGCTCGTAGTGAACACTACGTATATGCTATATGCAGGGCGCGGCAGACCCGGGTTCGATTCCCGGCGAGTGCAGTGAACGAGCGAACACGACGAAGAAACGAAAAACTTTTTTGACCTTGCGAAGGCTTTTAATTTTTAATCAAAGAGCTTGCATTGAATTCAGTTCTTCACCGATTACCCATTACAAAAGTTATTACTCGTATCACATTTCGCGGGTGGACGCGAGGCATTTCCTGTAGCAAGCTTCGCACACGCGCCCGTCACCATCTCTTTGGGGACGACTCACCTTCCCTCGAGAAACCGCACGCGAGCATAGCGCGCACGTGAACGGTGGCTGATTCGCCTTGCTTGCTTTTTCGTAGCACCCAACGCACACGCGCCCGTCACCATCTCTTTGGGGATGACTCACCTTCCCTCGAGAAACCGCACGCGAGCATAGCGCGCACGTGAACGGTGGCTGATTCGCCTTGAGAGCTTTTTGGGTGCACCCAGCGCACACGCGCCCGTCACCATCTCTTTGGGGACGACTCACCTTCCCTCGAGAAACCGCACGCGAGCATAGCGCGCACGTGAACGGTGGTCGATTCGCCTTGCTTGCTTTTTGGTAGCACCCTTCGCACACGCGCCCGTCACCATCTCTTTGGGGACGACTCACCTTCCCTCGAGAAACCGCACGCGAGCATAGCGCGCACGTGAACGGTGGTCGATTCGCCTTGCTTGCTTTTTGGTAGCACCCTTCGCACACGCGCCCGTCACCATCTCTTTGGGGATGACTCGCCTTCCCTCGAGAAACCGCACGCGAGCATAGCGCGCACGTGAACGGTGGTTGCTTTGCGATGCTTGCTTTTTGGTAGCACCCAGCGCACACGCGCCCGTCACCATCTCTTTGGGGATGACTCGCCTTCCCTCGAGAAACCGCACGCGAGCATAGCGCGCACGTGAGCGGTGGTCGATTCGCCTTGCTTGCTTTTTGGTAGCACCCAGCGCACACGCGCCCGTCACCATCTCTTTGGGGATGACTCGCCTTCCCTCGAGAAACCGCACGCGAGCATAGCGCGCACGTGAACGGTGGTCGCTTTGCGAGTAAAGCGATTTGGTAGCATCTTTCGCACACGCGTCCATCGCCGTCTCCGCGGTAACTTTGTTTCCCTTGCATCTCTCTGTCGCACTCAAGGCACTGAAACTGCGGCTTCTTTGCATACAAAGCGATTTGGTAGCATCTGTCGCACACGCGTCCATGGCCGTCTCCGTGGGAGTGACTTCGCGACTTTCCTTGCGGAAAATCTCTGTCGCACCGTCCGCACGTGAACGCCGGCAAAGTCTTCGTACATCGCGTCTTCTTTCCGGATGTCTCTCTGATCTCGTTCCACGTATACTCGCGGGTGACCTCCCTGGTATGGCACACACCGGGCTGAGAAAAGTTCATTCCGACGACGCCGTCCGCGGTGTGCTCGTGCAAGGTCCCGTAGTGCGCGGTGAATACCGCTTCGACGAAGAATCCGGCGCTCGCAATCGCGCGCGCGACTTCCAAAATCGACGGCGTCGACGCGCACGTTTTCACGTACGTCTTCGCCAACTCGACCGCGCTCGCTTCATCCTGTCCGTGAATGACCCACAAACTGCATTGAAAATCAGCATCAGCATGGTCGTCGTCGCCCTTTTGGGCTCGTCGAACGAGTGCGTGTCCTCGCTGCATGTCGTGCGCGCGCCCGTCGCCGAGCAGCGCCGTCAAGTGCTCGTTGATTCGTCGCTCTACATCGACACTTTCCCCGATGTACGCGAACACGAGTCCGTCGTCGGTGCGAATTCTGTAGTGATAGCACCCGCGTACGTTCAGATATCGCGCCATCGATCCCGTGGCCGTCTCGACCTTTTCCAAAGCCTGACGCAACTCGAATTCGCTCGCGTCCAGCGCCATCGCCGCGGCGCGAACCGCGTTAAGATTTTGACACGCATACTTTGACTCCGCCGCGTTGAGCGGGGAGGACCATTCTGCGATTATTGGACCGGTGGTACGTCGAAATGCACGTTGGCGACACGCTTCATCATCATCTATGTCGACCTTCGGCAGCCCCGTCGCCGCGAACAATGGCGCTCCTCTCGCGAGCCAACGCGCGAAACTGTCCCGCGCGCACGCGCTCGGTGAGACGCGCGAGTAAATGTCTGAGATGATGCTCTCGAAATCCACGCCGCGCACCGTCTCATTGTTCATGGTCTTGGCGCACAATTCGGCATTAAACACCGCCAAGGTGACGACCGGTGCTCCTCCGAGTCCGTTCCCGGCGGCGCGTGTGACGTATTTCAACGCGAGCGTCGTCGCCGTCGCGACACCACCAGCGGTATCTTTGGGCGCGTCGTTCTCCACCGGCGCCTCCAATCCGACTCCGCTCGCCGCCTTCGGCGCCGCCTCGTCTCGCCTCGCGGCGTTCGTGTCGTCGCCGAGAGCGACGCGTGTCGCCCCCGCCGCGAACGCGACGCGCGCGTTCGCCGCATCCGACTCGGCGTCCGCCTCGGCTTTGGCTTTAGCTTTGGCATCCGCGCCACCGCGACCCCCGACTGGCCAACCAACACGTGCGTTAGCAGCAGATGACGCTTCCACGAATGCCTCACGGTTTCGCTTCCCCAACCCCGCGAATGCATAGCCGTATCCACCGCGGTATCCCCGCGGCATTGCTCCCGTCCTGCGCGTCCACGGCGGACAGTTAGTTATTAATCCGCCATCGGCGCGCATCGAACGAACGCGTCACCGTCGTCGACGCCGTCGCCCGCGCGCGCGCACCGCGACGTGAAACAAATCGACGCATCCTTTCGCGCGCGCCCGTCGTCATCGCGCGCTCGCGCGCCCCCCGGCGGCGCGATGCACGCGCCACCGGGGAACAGCGCGCGCGCGATGCGATCTCGACCAATCGCCCCCTCTCCGCGCCGCGACTCCGCGTCGCGCCGCGCATCGTCCGCGAACGAGACGTACCTTTATTCCCTCGTCGATGTCGTCGCGCGCACGCGCACGGAACGTTCGCGTTCGAGTCGAATTCGCGCGCCGCCGTCGCGCGCGATTCCAATTCGAAATCGCGCGCGCGCCGAGTGCCGACGCGACGACGCGTCGTCGTCGTCGCAGGCGTCGCGTCGCGCGCGGCCGCATCGCGTCGCGCTTTTTTTTTTTTTTTTGCGTCCGCATCGCGTCGCCCCCCCGCCGCGACGCGTCGCCACCGGACGCATCGCGGCGGGGTGTGCCGCTCGGCGTCCGATGCGGACGCGACGCGTCGACATTTTCCAAATATTTTGTAGGCCATCAAGAAAAAATGTGACATCGAGCGAGTGCCAAGGGGTAAAATGGCTAAAAGGGGGTAAAACACGGGGCAACGGGGCAACCATCTCACTCATCCGCCGTCCGCGGTGGCGCCTTTCGCCCTCTTCCAACAAACCAACGCGCGCGAGACCTCGGCGCGTTCGACGACGGCGCGCGCGCGCGGTTCGACGTGACGCGACGACGACCTCGGTCGAAATCGTCGCGTCGAACGTCCAGGACGCGAGACGCTCGCCGATTGGACGTCTGCTAGGGTTTAGAGGGTTGAGACACCCATCGCGCGCCGCCGTCGACGCCGCGACACCTCGGCGCGCCCGCGATGGCGCGCGCGTGAGCGCGGGCGAAGGAACGTCCACGGCGAGACACTCGAGCCCATGCCCGCGGTCGCGCGCGGCGAGCGGGGCGCGGCGACGTCGACGCGGACGGATGACGTCCCCGCGGGGTCTCGCGACGCGCTCGTCGCGCACGTCGACGGCGCGCTCACAAAGCTCGGGCTCGAGCGATTGAGCGCGAGCGAACGGGCGTCGAGTGATTTCGCGCCCAAGCGACCGATGCCGGAGCGCGACGCGAAGCGACCGGGACACGACGCGTGGACGTCGAGCGGGCCGACGCGCGGGGCGCGGCGACGCGGCGTCGAGCCGGCGACGCTCGCGAGAGCGATCGTGGACGATATCGAGGGGGCGTCGGACGTCTTCGCGACCGCCAAGGTGATATCGAACGGGGCGAACGCGTGTAAGGTGATTTTGACGACGAAATCGAGGGTCGAGGCGATGCGCGAACTCGGGTTGCGACAATGCCCGGGGTGCTTCAAGTTTTTCGCCCTGCACGGCGGTGGGTTGCGGAATCACTGGCTCGAATCGAGCGAGTGCGAGTACGTCATGAGTAGTGGTCACCCCGAGAACGCGTCGGACGAGGAGGATGATTCCTCCGTGTCCGACCACTCGTGGCGAGGAACGAGCGGGTTGTCGAAACCGCCCGGATGGACTTCGCATCGAAGGACTCGACGATCGCAAGGTCCGCCCGTGATTCCTCCGGACGTGCACCCGGACTCTGTCACGGATGTCCATGGGTCCACAGCTTTAATGTGGGCCGCGGGTTCGGGGAAAATCTCCGTCATGGACTACTTAGTGAATGAACGCGGAGCCGACGTCTCGCACGTTGGCGCGAGGAAGGATGGTCGAACGCCCTTGCACTGGGCCGCTCGAAACGGACGATTGGAGGCGTGCGAGTGGTTGTTAGAGCGCGATCCAAAATTAGCGAATACACCCTCGTTCGACGGCGATTACCCGTTCCACTTGGCGGTGTGGAAGACGCGACACGCGTGCGCTTCGTTTCTCGCCGAGCGCGCGAGTGGGTCTACTTCGGCGCGAAATCGGTGGGGTTGTAACGCCGTGCTCTGGGCGTGCACCGCGGACGTCGGGAACGACGACCAGAGTCGCAGAGACGTCTTACGCATGGTTCGATGGTTGGTCGAAGATTTAGACGTTCCGTTCGACGTGGTAAACGTAAACGGGCACTCGGCGCTACACAAGTGCGCCATCTATGGCCACGCTAACGTGGTTGATTACTTGTTGGGAAAACTTCGTTGTGTTGATGTTGTTGTTGATGATAGTTGTAGTAGCGGTGATGATGGTGATGATTTGAAGAAGAAATCGATTGAAAAGATGATTTTACAGGACGATAGGAGGCAGGCGCCGAGCGATTTAGCTCGCGTCAACGGATTCCTCGAGCTCTCCGCAGCGCTTCGCGCGATCGAGGATCAAGCCTTACGTCTTCCGGTCGTTTTTGGAGGTGTTAAATCTAAGTGTGATATTGAAAACTAGATATCTACGGTACCTATGGTGTTCTACACGATGTCGACGACGATCCCCACGGATGCGCACGCGTCTTTGAAATCATCCGGCGGGTGGGCTACGATCGGGACCGGATATTCGTCGCTCGGAAACGTAAGCGTTCTCGCGTGCAACGCGTGTCGATCGATGATGTCCGACGGTGCGCCGTATATCGTGTCGCCTACGATCGGTAAACCAGCCGCGGCCAAGTGCGTTCGAATCTGATGCGTTCGCCCAGTCTTCGGGCGCGCCTCGACGAGGACGTGAGCCGCCGACTTGGATACGATCCGAAACAGCGTCGTCGCCGGTTTCGCATCTTCCGGCGCATCCTCAGGCGTTAACACCGCCTCAACGAAGAACGTCCCGGGCTCCGCGTCGTCCCTCGCACGCTTCACGAGTGGGAATTCGATCGTGTGCCACTCGCCCGAGTCGTCCGACGCGTCGCCCCGCGCCTCGCACAGCGCCCAATACGTCTTCTCGACTCGACGATTTTCAAACCATCCCTGCACCTCCTTCGCCCGCGCACTCGTTCGACAGATAACCAACGCCCCACTCGTGTCCAAATCTAACCGATGCGCGACGTACGGCACGAGCGAAGCGCCTTGAACGCCGTCCACGGTCCGCCACCGCGCGACGCACGCGCTCGCGGCTGAATCGTCACCGACGCGTCGTCTCGGCGTCGACGGCGTCCCAGCGCGCTTGTTCACCACCGTCATCGTCGCGTCCTCGTACGCGATGTCGTCGTCACCGAGCGTCCAATCCATCTCGAGCCCCCACGGCGTCGCGTCCACCTCGGCTCGCACCGCCCGCGCGACGGCCCGCGCGTCCATCCGCAACGCCCGCGCGACGGCCCGCGCCGAGACCACCGGCTCGCTTCCCCGCGCGAAGCCAAATCGCATCGCGCACACCGCGTACGAAGTCGATCGCTCGCCGTGTCGACGCTTCACGCTCGCTCGAATGACCTCGCGCTCGACGCGCTCGAAATGCGCACCGTCGAGGACGTCCGGCGCGCACAGCGACAGGTGCGATCGCCACGCCCGCGCGCGCACGACGGCGTCGCAGTGTGGACATTTTTCCGCCTCCACGCGCGCGACGGCACCGTCCCGCGGTCGTCGCGTCGACCTCGACGCGGGGATGACGGCGCGGGCCCGATGCGACGAACGCATTGTGACGCCGCACACCGCGACGGTTCGTGTCGCCCCGACATGGAGCGCATCGCCCGCGCGCGCGCCGAACGCGGGCGTGGAAATATATCCACGCGCGCGGCGAAGTCTCGGGTCCAGCGCGTCGTCGCGCGACCGCAAGGACAGGGGTCGTTGGCGCAGCAGCACCTGGGTCAAATAGCTCCGGGTTCGGTGTTGTCCAAAGCGATCGATCGAGCGAAGGGTTCGATCGATTGGGGGAAGATGGCGTCGGATGTCTCGTCTCTCGATGCGTCGTCGTCCGCGGTGGCGAAGTCGCCGGCGCTCGGGTTGGTCCTGGGCGAGCTCGGACTCGCGGACGGGGACGCGGAGCGACTGGCGAGCAAGGTGCGGGCGACGGAGGACTATGGATCGTTCGCGCTGCAGCGAACGCTCGGGATGAAGGCGGTGATCACATTAGGGGCTACGCGGGGGGGGGTGACGGACGCGAAGACGCGGTGCGCGATCGGGAGGGTGATCAGCGACTCCTCGAGCGAGGACTCGTTGTTCGCCGTGTTCGCTCGACGCGCGAGCAAGGATTTGGACGCGTTCGTGAGCGGGGTCTCGGAAGATTTGCAAAGGATCGCGAGTGAATCGTTAAGTTCTGAAGATCTGGACCGCACGAAGAACTGGTACGCCGCGAGCGTGTCGCCGGCGCACTTTTCATTTGTTCAAAATCAGGTCCGCCGAGCGTGCTCTTCTTCAAACGCCGACACGAAAAATGTCAAGGTGGTTCCGGTGCTGATTCCGGTCATGGATGGGAAATCCACGAGGGGTACTTTCGGCGGTGCCTTAGACGGCGCAGACGACGACGAGGACGACGACGATGGGTTCATGTTCGGAAAGAAGAGCAAGAAGAAGAAAAAGGCGAAATCAACCTCCGCCGCTGCTTCCTCGACATCATCCGAGCCGCAAACAGTCTCCGATCTCCTAACGAAGATGGTTTCCCAACGCGTCGGTTCGCAGCGTGAACCGACGTTCCCCGAGCTCGAGATGTCCTGGGGACAGACGACCGCCGCGGAGGTCGGCGGCGCCGTGTTGCAGCTCGTCGCAGAGGCCCCGGCGAAGTCGGTGGTGATCCTTCCCTCCGAGCTCATTCGCGCCACGATCTCCTTTGATGCCGATGCATCGGGCGTAAACGCCGTGGGCGCACGCGCGGTATCGATCGAACAAGTCGCGAGCGACGCCTCCATCATTGGCGATGACGTCTCATCGACGCTCTGGGTCACCTTTGATCCGGACGACGCGTCCAAGTCCGCCGAGACGTTCAAGCGAGCGCTAGAAAACATTCGCAGTCGCAATATCCCTATCGTCAACGCTGTTTTCGCTCTCGTTCCCGAGATCGAGTCCTGCGACGCCGAGAACGGCCCGGCGGATGCCGTCTCGCTCGCCGCCTCGGTATCCAGCCGAGCGCACGCCGCATTCGTCTCCGATGACGACGAGTGAGCGCATAGACTAGCGTAGTATTTAAATCTCACATTTTATTCCTCATCGTTTCATCGCATTTACGTCGCCGTTTCGTCTCAGACTCACGCATCCAAATCGTTTGCGTCCGGCGCGTCCACACAGAGCTGTCGCTGAGTCGAAAACCCACACATTTCGACGCCACACGCGCGACATGCTCCAATTCGCCCTCGCGGGCGTCGTCGGCGTCCTCGCTGGTGTCGTGAGTGCATCCGCGACCCGTCGAAGGCGACGTAAGGGCCGTAAAACGGGCGCACCGGTGCGTGTTTGGAATGATGTTTTTAAAAACTTGGAAAAAGTGTTTCGAGTTTCACCCGCCCACGACGTTTTCACGATCGACTGACGCGTTTTCGACGCACGTGTAGGGCCCCGTGAGACGTTTTGGTGGACGTCCGACGCTTTCGGTGTCGATGACGCCCGTGAAGGCGTCTAATTACGCGTTGAGTTGCGACGCGCCGGCGTGCGCGTGCTGCGGCGATACCAAAGCGACGCCGTCGACGCCGACGACGGCGAAACCCGATCCGTTATCGCCGACGAAGCGCGATCGGTACCTTTCGTGGGACGATTACTTCATGTCGGTCGCATTTTTGAGCGCGCAGAGGTCGAAGGATCCGAATAAGCAAGTAGGCGCGTGTATCGTCGGAGAGGACAAGCTCATCTTGGGCGTCGGGTACAACGGTTTCCCTCGCGGGTGCGCCGACAGCGCGCTACCGTGGGCGAAGAAGAGCACGAACGGTGATGAGCTGGAGACGAAGTATCCGTACGTGTGTCACGCTGAGATGAACGCAATCATGAATAAGAACTCGGCGTCCGTGGCGGGCGGGACGTTGTACGTGACCATGTACCCGTGCAACGAGTGCGCGAAGTTGATCATTCAGGCTGGGATTCGCGAGGTGGTGTATTACGAGGGGAAGATCAGTGAGGCAAAGGAGACACCGATGTCGCCGGGTGTGAGCGATGGATCGGTGGCGAAGCGCGACGATCCCAAGCACATTTACGCCGCGGCGAATAGGCTGTTACGACTCGCCGACGTGCGCGTGCGCCAACACTCCCCCGCGGTGGCGGTGCAGGTGACGTATTTAGACGAGAGCGACGATGAGGACGAGGAGTTCGTCGCGGACGCGTCGGCGTGAGGGCGGGCGAGGAGTTAGGGATGATCGGTGTGTAATTTTGCATAGCATTTCAAGCGAGCGACGAGTCCTGACGCCGGCGATTTTTTCTTCTCCCTCGTCCATCCTCATCCATCGCGCGTTTGAATCAAATCAAACCTCAAGTCTAGTCCCGGTTGGTCTCGCGGCTCTTCGAGGCGCTCAACTCCTCAACCGTCTCCCACGCCACGGCGCAGTCATCGGTGCATTCCTTCGCCGCGGCGAGGGCAGCTTCCAGCGCCGCTTCGATCTTCGCAACGCGAGCTTGGTTGACCTTCTTGGCAACCTCCTTCACGCCCTTCGCAGCGGCTTCGATCTCCTTCATGGTCTTCTCATCGACCGAGCCCGCCGCGCGCGCCGCGGCGATCGTAGCCTTGGTGGACTCGATGAACTTCTTATCCGCATCAGAGATCGCGACTTCCTGCATGGAGTCGTCGCTCGAATCCTTCGTCGCCGCGCTCAGCTCCTCGACGTCGTCCCACAGCACCGCGCAATCGTCCACGCACTGCTCCGCTTCCTTGAGCGCGTCTTGCAATCGTTCCGACGCGCCTTCGGCCCGAACGACCGTCGAGCGTCGCGCAGCCACCTACATCACGCGTCCGATCCGCGCTTCGTCAGTCTCCGATTCGGGCGTCCCGCGCCGCGCCCTCGATCGTCCCGCGTCATCCCCGCCGGCGTCCTCCACCCACCGTTCGACCGCGATCCAGCGCGCTCGATCGAGAGCGACGTGACGCGCGCGCGTTTCACGCCCACGACGCCGCGAACCCATCGACGCGCGCGTCGCGACCGCGGGCGATCGTCCCGATCGCGTCGATGCGCTCTTATCCGATCGCGCGCGATGATCCCTTCGTCGCGCGCCGCGAACGCGTCCCGCGCGCGCGCGAGCGTCGCGCGAGGTCGTGACGCACCGTGCGCGTCGCCCGGGCGAAGACGCGCGGGCGGAGGAGAACGTTGAGCGCGGTCGAGGCCATCGTCGCGCGCGAGGTGTGACGCCGACGTGGGCGTGGGTGGTGGGGTTTTTTATCGCCGCGTCGTGGTCTCGTACTGTGGGTGCGTCGAGGTCGGTGTACGTGGATGATGGGTGTGGTGATCGGACATGTGGGTGGTGCCGCCGAGCCGGACGGGGCGCGGAGCGGCGAGAGACGCGCGGGACGGCGCGTGGGGGATGGATGCCGCGTCGAGCGCGTGCGTTTGGTTTGGTGACGTGTTGGTTTTACACGCGAGGTGTGTCGAGAGACTCACGCCTTCTTCTCGATGAGGTACGTCACGGCGGCGACCAAGTCGGCGGCGCGCTTGACGACGGTTTTCTCCATCTCGCTGGCGTACGGTACGGGGGCGTCTTCCATGCACAAACGCATCACAGGGGCGTCGAGCTCGTCGAATAAGTTCTCGGAGACGATGGCGGAGAGCGTGGCGCCGACACCGCCGGTTCTGGTGGACTCGTCTAGGATGACGAGCTTGTGCGTGCGCTCGAGCGAGGTCTGGATCGTCTTCCAGTCCACCGGCTTCAGGCACGTGAGCTCGATGAAGTCGGCGTCGATGCCCTTTTGGGCGAGCTCTGCCATGGCTTCCTCGCACTCCTTCACGCCGTGGAGGTAGGTGACGATGGTAACAGCCTTTTCATTCTTCACCGCCTCGTCGCTCGCGAGGTGATGGACGGTGGACTTGTGGAGGGGGAGGAAAGAATCAGGGATCACCGGACCGCGAGATTTCATCATCTTCACCGGAAGTAAGAGCACGCCTGGGCCGTTGTCGCGAATCATAGACTTGGCCAAACCGTACGCCTCCTGAGGCTTACTCGCCGAGCAAATCTTCAGACCCGGGATGCCCATGATGTAGGCGTGGAAGGGCTGAGAGTGTTCGGCACCGAGAGATTGGTTCGGGGCCGTACCCCCGGCACCGATGACCGTCATCGGCATCTTGAACTGACCGCCCGTCGTGGCATACGTGTTTCCGGCGGAGGAGAGCTCCGCCATACCGTAAATACCAAAGTTGGCATTCATGAGCTCAACGATGGGGCGGTAACCATTCATCGCCTCGCCAAGCGCCTTACCCATGAAGTGACCCTCGTCGATGATCTCATCCGCCGCACGAAGCGTGCCGAAAGCTTGTTGCGTGTTGGCAGGAATATTGTAAGATGAACCGGCTTGAAGATCCTCAGCGTGCGCGACTGTCGTTGGGTCACGCAACATCTCCTCGAGAATGGCGAGGTTCACTGCGTCGCCGATGGAAATACCTCGCGGATCGGTGCACATCGCGCGGAGCGCCTCGATGCGCGCCTCGAGCAACTTCAGCGTCTCGGCCGGAATGATCTTTTCCGTCACCGTTCGCGCAGATTCGAGGCCCTCAACCGGTTCACGTGCCGAGTAATCGACAGCCCCGCTCGGATCTGGGTACTCAAGCTCCGCGGCGAGGCCCGGCGGCGGCGGTGGAGACGCGTCTGCAAACGCGAGCGCGCGTTGCGTCTCAGCCTTGGCGCGCTCTGTCTCCTTCTTGAGATCAATGCGCGCGGCATCGGCGGAATTCTCGAAAATCTTAATCGGGTCGCACTCAGCTCGCGCCCAGCGCTTCTCATCCTTGCGGTTGCGCTCGTGTTCCGGGTCTGCCGGTGAATGACCGTTGAAGCGGAACGTGTGCACTTGCAAAATAGCTGGACCCTTCGTACGCACGTGGTTGATCACAGTGCGACCAACCTTCAGCACATCTTGAACGTTTTGACCATCGACGAGCACGCCTGGGACGCCGTAATGCTTCCCTTGGTTGAAAACTTCTTGGTTCGCCGCGACATCCTTGGTGAACGTGTTGATGGCGCGACCGTTGTCGATGACCAAGAAAAGAATCGGAAGGTTTTCCTTCGCTGCGGCGTTCAGGCACTCTGCCATGCGTCCGTTTTGGGCGCCACCTTCGCCGACGAAGACGACGGTGATGCGGTCCTGCGCGTCGTCGCGTCCGAGCATCTTGTCGAGGACGATGGATCGCGCCGCGCCGACCGCGTACGGAAGCTGCTCGGCAACGAGCGCCCACCCACCTTGGAAGTTGGTATCCATGTCGTACACGTGCATGGACCCACCGGTACCGCGACACGTGCCACCATCCTTCCCGAAGAGCTCCGCCATGACGGCTCCGCTATCAACGCCGCACGCGATGGCGTGGCAGTGATCGCGGTAGTACGAGTGCTTCAGGTCATCTTTACGAATAGCATCGTTCAACAGCGCCGGAATTGACTCCTGACCGTTGTCCAAGTGCATGAAACCTCGAATCTTCCCCGCCATGTACGCCTGGTTGCACTCGTTTTCAAAGTCTCGGCACAACTGCATCATGTAATACGCCTTGCTCAAGTCCTCATCCGAGAGCGCTTCCGCTCGTTTCAACTCCTCCTCCGTGGCGCCAAAGTCTCTCTTCAGCGCATCCTTCGCCCGATCCCACGGCGTCTCGATCCGCAGTCGTTCCAAATTCGCCGGCGGTCCCGCAGTCTTCGTCGCCGCGCGCGTCGTCGTCTTGTTTCTCACCCGCCGCTGCGCCAATTTCGTGGGCACGCTCGCGCTCGCGCGCACGGCTCCGTGTCCGCTCATCTCACTCGGATGTTCACGAACGCCCTGTCATCGTAAGACGCCCAGCGTCATCGTCAGTCGTCGGATAAAGAGTTGTTTGAGAGATCTAAAAGATCAGGGTAAGACGCGAAAGCGCGACGAAATCACCCTCGCGTCGCGCCCGCTCGTCGACGTTCGCCTCAAAATCGAGCGACGACGGAGCGAGAGTGCGTGTCTCCCGATCGCACCGAGCGAGAGATCGCGCGGAGGCGCGTTCGAGACGCACCGAGACGCGGGAAGTGGTGCGGTCGACGCGCGCGGTCGAGCAGCCGACGGCGCCGGGGGCGCTGGTCCGTGGATGTCATCACGCTCGATGGGTCTCGTGTCCACCGCAGTATGGTTCACGTGTCCGACGCGCGTCTTTTTTGGGGCGATTTTGGCGGGAGATCGTCGTGGGATCGAACGAATGCATGAATGATGGTCCTTAAGTATCTATATTATGAGCTAGAGCGCTATCCACGCGCCACGCGCCCGCCTCACCAGCGCACGGCGAGCGCGTCGGCGTGCACGAAGGCGAAACCTTGCACGATCCACGCCAATGGAGCGAGGATCCAGATTACATTCGCGGCGAAGACCACGATTTTCGCCGACGTCGAGGCGCCGATGTCGTAGCGGTTGTAACAGTAATTCGCAAAGTACCCGAGCGTGCCGTAGAGCATTTGATAATTCATGACGATCGCTACGACGCCGACGGTTCTCGGGGAGATGGCGGTGATGATTGGAACGTGTGGAAATCCCGTGACGGCCATAGAGAGCGCGATGGTGGGGATGAGCGTGGTGAATCCGTTCCCGACGTCGATCCAAAACGACCAAGACGTGTGCTGGACGTACGACGGGTCCAGGCTCGCGTATTGCGCGAAAATCACCGACCAGTACTTCAGCGACAGCGCCTGCGCGAGCGTGATGTGCTCGAATAAGCATAACGGTGTCGGTAGCGTCTATGATCGAGCGTTACGGAACGCGTCGTCAGTCGTCGTCCTCTCTCGCCTCGCTTTCTCTCCGTCTCACCGCGCGCGGCGAATTCAAATCCAACGCACCCTCTTGCCGAACTTTTTCAGGTACCCGCGGTTCAATCTCTGCACTTCGTCTCGATGCACCCAAAGCGCGATCTCCCAGACGCATATCAACGCGTTCACGGCGTTGAACAATAACAACGACGCGAGCCACCAGTTGACCTCTCCCACGACCTCGCGCGCGCTCGCCCTCGCCCCCGCGCGGCTCACCGCGTCGGCGTGGACGAACGGGAGCCACAGCGCGGCGACGAAGACGGCGACGTAGGCCACGGCGAGCATCGCGCGCGCGCGAGTGCGGGGCCGTTCGGGGCGACGGTGGAATCCGTCGAGCGATGATGACATTCATCCATCGGACACGTGGAACATCGCGCACGCAATCTAAAAAACATTTTGGAAAGAGCGTTTCACGAGCGTTACGACGGGAAACAACACTCGTTGTTGCGCGAGCGACGGGCGGTCGAGCGCGCGACGCGCGGGCGAACGGGCGAACGACATGACGTCGGGATCTATCGATGGTTTGGACCTCTTGTTCGACCACGGCTTGGACGCGCGCGAGGGCGAGGGCGCGCCAGGACTCGCGGTGGATGTCTTGGCGTGGGACGACGTCCTGAACGCGTTCGACGCGTACTGCGCCGACGGCGCGGATGGGCGATTCGATGATCTCGACGCGGTGTTCGCGACGACGTGGGCGCGTGAAGGGTGTGATGCGAGGCGTCGCGCGGCGGGCGAAGCGCGAGAATACATCGCGAGCGTGGTGCGGGACGCGCTCGGCGACGGCGAAGACGACGACGGAGGCGACGCGCGGGAGACGACGAGACGCGAGGCTGAGGATTCGGCGACGGCGATCAAGTACGTGCAATCGCGCGCGAACGGTCGTTTACGAGCGTCCTGCATCGAGACCGGAAGGAAAAATCGTTTGAAAATGCTGCGTGATATGTTCAGCGCGGAGCTTCGAGCGTTTGCGCGGCGCGCAGAGGAGCTCGAGCGACGAGCAAAGGACGCCGCAGCGAAAACCGCCGCCTCCGTGCTGTGCCTGAATCTCCCGGATCCCGCCGAAGTGCTTCGACGTGAATTTAAATCTTCTCTCGCGAACGTGCTCGACGCCTTTGACTCAGCCATGGAACACATCGCGCCGCGCACGGCGAAGACGAAATCTGCGTCATCCAGAGACTCGGAACGATCGAACGCCACGGTGGAGATCACGCAATCGGTGGCGGCGATCCAGGGCAGGCACGACGAGCGCGCGAGAAAGGTCCTCTCGCAGTGGCTCTGGGATCACTTCTATCCGACTGAGGAGCGGTTGAAACCGATTCCTACTCGCGCCGAAAAAGAAGAGCTCGCTCGACTGAGCGGTCTCACCACGACGCAGGTCGGCGACTGGTTCGTCAACGCACGCGCGCGTTTGTGGAAGCCATACATCGAGGGATTGATTCGCGGCGTTTACAACGACGCGATGGTGAAGAAGGCGCTCGATTTACAGGCGGACGCCTCGGCGTGACGACGGATTGGAGGGAGCGCGGAGAGAGAAATAATCAACATCCATCTTGTATAAAACACACGAACTACTCTCACAGAGCGTGCGTTTTCATCGGTCACGCATCGTTCTCGACTACGACAGTCTCAAATCAACAGTGCATTATCCGTCGCGTCTTGCATTTGTCGATCGCGCTCGTTCTGGTAATCCAAAAACTCCTGACTCGGTTTCGGGTGCTCTTGCCCCTCGTCGCCGTCGTAGAAATCCTTAACTTTTGGAATGTGCTCCGGGACGATGACTTGTCCCAAGTACTCGGGATCGGCGCCGTGATGCTTCAGTCGCTCCATGATGTCCTTCCAGTCCATGTTTTGCGCCCAGTGATACGCCGTGTCTCCCGCGTTATTGCTCGCGTTCACCTTCGCCCCGAGCTCGACCAAAACATCGATCCCGCGGACCCATCCTTCGTACGCCGCGCACATGATCGGCGTCGATCCCGCGGCGTCGACCTCGTTCACGCTGTCTCCCGCCTCGACGAGCGCACGAATCTTTGCCTCGTCTCGGTTAAACGTCGCTCGATGCACCCGCATCGTTCCCACCGTCCCTCGACCGCGCATCGAGCCACCGCCGTCCGCCTTGACGCCGACGCATCCGTACGTCTCCGGGAACGGGCCCTTGACGCGTTTGTACCACGGTTCGATCTCCGTCTCCTGTCCGCTCATCGCGCGCGCGTCGAGGCGTGCCGTCGTCGCGCGCGTCCGTCGCGCGCGCACGAAAAAACGCTCGAGAAACGCTCGGGGCGATGGTGTACATATATAAGCACCACGAAGACCATCTGTGTGAAAAACGACCGCGTCGACGCGCGCATGCGGCCGCGCATTTTCGAATATGTACACACATGGGCGTTTCTTTTGTGTAATATGTGAGACCTGTCCCGGAGGCGTCGCGCGACGCGCGCGACGACGCACGTCGACGCGCGACGCGACATGGACGACGCCGCGAGCGATGGACGCGGGCGAACGGACGATGCGCGATGGACGAGCGCGAGCGCGGGGGCGCGGGACCGCGCGCGCGGGCGAGAGACGCGATCGGGCGCGGATGGACAGCGTTTCGAGACGATCCCGAGCGTGAGCTCGTTCGGCGGTGGATTGATGAATTACGAGGTGTTCTCTCGACGATCGAGCGCGAATGAGATGTCGAGCGAACCGGACGTGGAGCGGGGGGGGGTGGAGCCGTCGCCGGTGTCGCCGGGGACGCTGAAGAGGCTGAACGCGGACGCGCCGGTAAAGGTGTGGGGACGGGAGGTGCGCATGAGCGAGCTCGGGTTGTTGATGACGCTGAGCGGTGGGGCGTTGTTCGCGTACGTCGCGTTCACGATGACGCAGGAGGGGGTTTTCCGGAGAGCGACGAAGGATTTCAAGTACGGGGGGGTGGTTTCGCTGTGCACGTCGCTCGTGTACTGCGGCTTGGCGCAGTGCGAGCGGGCGAGTAACGGGGACGCGCCGTGGAGCAGACGCGGTGACATACGGGATTATGCGTTGTTGAGCGTCATGACGAGCGGATCGATGTACCTGACGAACGCGGCACTGAGTTATATTAACTATACGACGCGCATCGTCGCAAAGTGTTCAAAGGTGATACCCGTGATGATCGTGGGGACGTTGATGCAGGGACGGCGGTACGGGGTGGAGGATTACGGGATGTGCATCTTGCTCGTGGTCGGGATCACGTTGTTTACCATGGGAGACGTTGATTCGTTTCCGAATTTCGATTATCGAGGCGTCGCGTACATCACGATCGCGCTCTTTCTGGAGAGCACGGCGGGAAATTTCGAAGAACGGCGCTTCTTTAACCTTCCCAAGCCCATATCTCACTGCGAGGTCGTGTTTTACGTCAACGCTATCGGGAGCGTGTGGATCGCCCTCGGGCTCTTCGCCTCGGGCGAGCTCTTCGTGTCACTCGCGCACATATCGCGCGAGCCGACCATGTTGGTGGCGATTTGTCTCGCCGCCGCCTTTGGATACATCTCGGTCACGTGCATCCTCCTCTGTTTGCGCCACTACGGCGCCACGAACACCGAGGTCATCAAAGCCGTACGTAAAATGCTCTCCTTGGCGCTCTCCCTCCTCGTCTACCCCAAACCCATGGGCTGGAAATACATCGTCGGCACCACCGCCACGTGCGTCGCCCTCTTCGGCCTGTACAAAATAAAAATGCGCCGACTCCGCGCCGCGGGCTTCTCCATGGAGGCCGCCAAGTGAGTGATATTGGTACTAGAACACGTAGTTAGCGAACGATGCATTCCGAATCGCGTTCATACAACCGTCCCGCTCGACCACCCTCAGACCAACCGACTCTCTTCTGCGCGGTCTCCCCTCACACCGCACGCGTCGACGCGCACGGCCCGACGCGCCCGGACGCACGTCGAAATGGGCCCCGAGAGGGTCCACCGCGTGTTCAGAGACCCCGTGAGCTCGACGCGCTCGGCGATCGAGCGCAGAGACGCGGTTGAACTCATCACCATTCAACCGCTCAGTTACGACGCTTGGCTCGCCGCGTGGAGTGGGAACGAGGGCGAGGATCCACTTCGAGGACAGCGAGCGAGCGAGGAAGAGCTCGAACGAGTCGTGACGTCGGTACGGGCGCACGCGAGGGAGGAGACGTGTTGCATTTGTCTGAATTCTATAGCGGCGGGTGAGCGAGAGAGCGCGCTGCCGTGCGGACACGGGTTTCACGAGAATTGCGTCGGAGAGTGGTTGAGACGGTCGAAGCGGTGTCCGCAGTGTCGGAGATCGTTAGCGGGAGAGCATGTGGAGAACGCCGCGGCGGTTGGGGGCGCCGGAGTAGAGATCACCGAGGAGAACGCGCCGACGCCGGAGGACATACCGTGGTCAGCGACGAGCGATCACGAAGCGAGCGAGGAGAGCGAGCAGATGCGAAGGGAGCGATATAGGTCAGTGATGATGGTTTTACACGAACTTAGGAGAGACTTTGAGGAGGTTTTGCGTAGAGAAGTAGTCGAACGTGGCAACGCAGAGGAAGGCGCCGAAAGAGTGCGAGCTGCCCTACGCGCCCTCGACGAGAGCGACGACATTGTACCAACAAATCCACAGCATTCATCACTGTAACAGACATTTTTACAAACTATGAACAAAATTTGATGCGCGAGAGAAGGGATCTCATCTCTTTTGAGAAGATTCCTCCACCTCGATGGGCGCTGGCGTCGCCGCCTCGATGATGCTGTCCAAATCCATGTCATCGGCGTCATCGTTCGCCATCGGCGGTGGTAACGGGTCGAGTAACGACGCTAGGAATACTTCTTCCTCTGCGCTACTCTCCCTGACATCAAGGCTTCCCCAACCGAGGAAGGAGAACATCTCAGTGCACGAACAGGTGTTGCTACGGGTCTTTCGCTTTCGCGACTTTGATGCCCCACCGTCCAGATCGTTCAGCACTTCCGTCATTCGAAGCGATCGAGTGGTCCGCCCCGTGAAAATTTTACTGTGTGGAGTAGACTCGGTGGTATCATGGCTATCGGGAGAGTTCGGTTCCTGAAGCTCGTTGATTATTTCTTCAGCGGCCAGCGCATAATGCTCTTCCACCGACTTGTCGTTGAGAGAGTTTTGCTTGGATGTTTGAGCAAATCTAGGCGTTTCGGAGAAATCCATCTCCGTCCCTTCTTGGATTTTATCCAGCTCCTCAAATTGCTCGACGTCCACCACAGCTGGCTTGTCCTGCAGCGCCGCGCGCTGCGACAGAAGCACTTTATGACGAACCTGAAATGAGGCGTCGAGTCGTCCAGCGATGCGGAAACTCTGCTCCGCCGATTCCCACCCCTTCTTCGAGCAAGCAATCTCGGCAACTCGCAAAAATCCTGGCGCAAACGTCTTGCGCTGCTCGACAGCCATGAGCTTGCGCACGTTCCTCCAAGCCTTCGTCGTCTGGTTGTTGCGATACTGGCAGAGCACGCGATTCGCCTCGAGAACAGGTTGCAAATCGTCCAGAGCCTCCGAGGCATCCGACATCTCCGTGTTCGAGATCACGCTTAGTGCGCAAGAGTACAGTTCAGAGGCGCCAGCGAAGTCTCCAATCCATCCGAAGATATTCCCAAGCGTCAGACACACGTGCGCCCTATCGTACGCACTCAGATTGTCGAACTCGGCGAGTGAAAAAGCGTTGTCCAACCACGTACCCGTGCCATTTCCACGCGCTTTCGGGTCCGAGGATGATTTCGACGTTTCATTCGCATTATTCATCACGAAGATCGTCTTCGCTCGCTCCAAGAACAAGAGGCGATCACGGTAGATGCGCTCGTCGTCTCGCTCGGTGAAGAGCACGCCGGCGCCGTAGAGCATGGACCGCCGCGCGCGCACCCAATCCTCGTCCTCGATACATTTGTGCGCCGACGCCACTCTCTGCAACTCGTCTGCGGAATCCCCGGCGAAATCCGAGCTTCGACTCAACCCGTTCATGCGCTTACCCTTGAGCGCCTCGGCGAACTTTTCGTACTCCACGGCGGCGTCGCCCGCCACCTGCGTCTCGCGCAGGATATCCCCTAAACGCGCGTGCGTCAGCGCGTAATCCGGCGCGCAATCGATCGCAGCCTCGGCATCTCTCAGAGCTGCGACCCAATCCCCGGTTCGACCAGCCACGAGCGCCCTTCCACTCAGAGCCGCGCCCGCCGCCGCGCGATAGGCCACCACGGCGCACGCTCCGCGCGTCGCCTCCGCCCCCTCCAACATCCCGCACGCGCTCGCCACCAGCGCCGACGTCTCCGCTGTACCGTTCATCCACGCATTACTGATCTCTCTCAGGCACGCATCGTACGTCTCTCGCGCCTTATCGTACGCTTCACTCGTCCTCAGTCGCTCCGCTCGGTGCAGCGTCTTCAGCGCCTCCGCCAGCGTTCCCTCCATCGCCCCCCCGCTCGTCGACGCCGCGCTCTCCATCGCGAGCTTCTCGCTCAACCCGAGCACGTCCATTTTTTGCGCGCGCCATCGCTCGAACTGTCGCTCCACGCTCGTCATCGACCGCGCGATCGATCGCGATTATCACAATTCTCTCGCGTCCCGCCGAGCAATCGTCCACGATTCCCGTCGACGTCTCCCGCGCGCGCGTCCGGCGCCGGTCGCGCGCGAAGACGCGCGGGCGATTGGGATAAAAATACTCGCCTCGATCGCGCGCGCGCGTCCTCGCGTGCCGCGTCGCGCGCGCCCAAGTCTGCGTCGAGGTCGGCGTCGGTTCGACGGGCGCGGGGCGTCCACGTCATGGGCGTCGGCGCGAAGGATTACGGCGTGGGCCACGGATGGGGCGAGGCGATACAACTCGCGACGCGCGGCAAAGGTCGGGATCGCCCACGCTTCCGACATCGCATCTAGTACCGCCGACGCAAATCGCCAAACTTGGTCAACTGATGCCTCTTCTCCGACGTGCGGCGACTGAGCAGCTGACAGCTCGTCACCACGATTGACAGCGCATCGCTACGGCTACGTAATGAACGCGACGTGTTTGACGTCGCACAAATCGACCAAAATGAAAGCGAAGTCCGACCGCTTTCACATGTCTGGGTACTCACGGTGCGCTCTGACAACACTGTCAAAATACGCGGCTAACACGTATCCGTCGCCGCGGTCTCGTCCGGCGGTGCGCTCGGACGACGGTCGTCGTCGATCGCGACGTCGCCGTAGTAGTAGTTGTTGGGTAATCCGAGCCAAAACTTCCACATCTCGAGGCCGCGGTTCCACTCGAGCGGCGCCTCGCGGGCGGCGCGCGACGCGCGCGCGGACGCGAACGTCTCGGGCGATACCGTGGGAGATTCGGCGTTGATGGCGCGCGCGCGCCGAGTCGCGGCGGCCGCGCGTCGAGTCTGCACCGGTGGACGTTTCGCGCGCACGCGTCCGCCCGCGCCCGCCGCCTTGGCCTCCGACGACGCCTTGAGCACGAAGCGCAGCGACTTGGCCTCGCGCGCGCCCGCGACTCCGGTGGCTTGCAAATCCGCGATGATGCAATCGGCGACGTCGGACATTCCTTGGAGACCGCATCCATATACCAATGATTTTCGCATGCGCGCGTCGGGTGTCAGACCATCCGTTTTAGAGCACGACTCGTACAGACTGAGCGCCTCGCGAACGTTGCCGACGCGAACGTAACCATTCGTCAGAGCGCCGTACGTGGAGATATCCGGGGCGATCTTCTTCGCTCGCATCGTCTCCATCGTTTCCATCGCTCGAGCCATGTCGCCTTGACGAGCGTACGCATTGATGAGACAGTTGTACACGCCCACGTCTTCGACCACGGTGAGGTCCTTCTCCAACTCGGCGACGATCCAGCTCGTCGCCGAGTGATCGCCCACTTCAACGACGTATTTCAGCAGCGTCGTGTACGTCACGATGTTTGGCCGTAAACCGGACTCTGATATTTCTCTCAAGATGTTCCATGCCTCCGCCGGCGCGCCGGCGTTGATGCAGGCATCGATGAGCGTGTTGTACGACACCAAATCCGGTGGGATGCCATCGGCGCGCATTCGCTCGAACACATCCTTCGCTCGAGAAAGCATCTCATCCGTGCGCGCCGCGGGTCCGCCCGCGCCACTCAAGACGCCCTTTAACAGCGAGTTGTATGTCACGACGTTGGGTTTGATTTTCGCCCGTCGCATCTCCTCAAGCGCGGTTTCCGCCAAGCCAATTTGCGACGCGCGAACAAACCCATCGATGAGCGTTGAATACGTGTACACGTTTGGCTTCACCCCGTCCCGGGACATCCTTCTCAACACTTCATCTGCTTCGATTAATCTTCCCGACCGCGACAATCCTTGTACGAGCGACGTGTACGCCTGCACTCCGGGACGCCGCTCAACTCTTGGAGAGAAGCGCACGCCCTGATCCAACGCGTTCATGGCCAAATCTAATCTATCGCAGCTGACGTACGCGAACACCTTTGCCCCCCACGTCGCCTGGTTCGGTGTCACCCCTAAAGTACGCATCGTCATCGAGCTAGCCTCGACGCCGCGCAGATTCTTCTCTCGCCCGTACCCCGCGATGAGCGTGTTGAAGAGCCTCGGTCCCGCGCGCACTCCCTCCGCCGTCATGTCCCTCAACACGCGCTCCGCCTCCTCGACTCGCCCTTCGCTCACGTACGCACTCACACCCGCTGCAAACGCTGCCCCGTCCAGTCTCAACGGCGTCGCTCGGAGCATCAACCACACCTCCACTGGACTCGGCGTCGCTCGAGCCGAGCCGTTCGCCCGAGCCTCCGCCGCGCACCGACTCAGCGCCGCGATCACGTCCGTGTACGTCCTCAGAGTCGCGTGCGCGACGCTCGTCGCCCCCTTACCCTTCTTCGCGATCGAGTAAAACGCCCGCGTCACCGCAAGCGTCACATCGATGTCGTTCTTCAACGAGCACCCCAACCTACAGACCCGCTCGAGCGCGTTGGGAGAGACGCACGTCTTACATCCAACCTCCAAACACGCCCGCTCGACCTCCCGGATCAACGCACACGCTCGTTTCACGCGCACCCTCGCCTCCGAATCACCTTCTCGCGCTCGCGCTCGCGGTACTGTCTCATCGCCGTCCCGCTCCGCCCGTCCGCCTCCGTCCCGCCCGCGCTCGCCCGCAAAGTCCCCGACCAACGCGTCCAGTGCGCTCGCGATCGCCCTGGCGTCCACGGCGTCGAACGCCTTACGGTTCCCGCTCGCGACCGCGTTCACGCTCGCGAGCGCCCGCAGTAACGCGTCCGAGGATGCGTCTTTAGCATTCGTCGGCGGCGTGACGTCGGCGTTCGACGCATTCACTCGTAAAGGCGGCGCTTTCGAACGCCCGCGCGACGCGCTCGAGGACGCGAACGCGTGGGAGGACGCGCGGTCGACATGCGCGCGCGCGCGAGCGAGCGCGGCGCGCATGGCGACGACGAGTGCGGATGACAGCGAGGCGGGGACGCGGATAGCGCGCGGAGCGAGCGCGACGCGCGCGGGACAAAGGGACGAATAAGCTCATGCGAGGCGTTTTAGGTGAGCGATGGAAAGAATGTGAATTTGTTGTAAAGCGAAAGATGTGTGATGGAATCGAGTTCAGCAGCACGCACCGCCGGCGGGGGCGGACGAACCGGAGGGCGCGGCGACGGGAGACGGGCCGCAGTCGAACAAACCGTAGTGCGTCGATCTGTCGCCGACGAGGGTGAAGTACTTCCCGAGCCAGGTCTCTCCGACCATAGAACCGGTATTTCCGCACACGAGCATGGGTTTGTTCTTCACGAATCTGTGGTGGTCGTCGAGCTGGTAGGCGTTCGGTGAACCGGAGATGCCGCCGTTGTACACGGCGTATTGGCCGTAATCCTCGCACAGAGTCTCGAGGACGCCCGGCGGGAGCTTGAACAGTCTGTACGTGATGGAGTAAAATTTGGCCTCGCCGAGAAGTTCCGCGAGCGCGGGATCTCTGACCTCGATCTCGTGCCCGGCGAGCACGCGCGGGTCGGTGAAGCCAGTGGCGACGCAGAGGCGCTTAAAGTCCTCGATGTACATCGCCCCGCCCAGGCACTCGCCGAGTAAAACCTCGTGCGAGCGCAAATCATCCGGAAGTCTTCTGTCGCAGTACACGTCGGAGAAATAAAACTCTCCGCCGTTCGCGAGCACGCGATAGGCCTCGCGCAGCACCGCTGGCTTATCGGGGCTCAGATTGATTACGCAGTTACTGATGATCATGTCCACGCTGTCATCTTCCACGTTCGCGGCCCTCAAGTCTTCGATCGTGCCCTTCACGAATTTCATGTTCGACTCGGCGTACCCCAACGTCTTCGTGCAGTACTCATCGGCGTACTTCCTCGCCACCTCGAGCTGGCCGTCCGTCATGTCCACCCCGGTCACGCTCCCGTTCGCGCCGACCAACCTCGCCGCGACGTAACAATCCCGCCCGCTCCCGCTTCCGAGATCTAACACGCGCAATCCTTCGATTCCCGTCGGCGTCGGGCTCCCGCATCCGTAGTACTTCGCCTTGACCTCATCCGGGACGTCTCGCAAGGCGTCCCGAACCTCTCGCGGAATCTGATCTCCAGGCGTGCAGCACGCGCTCGTCTTCAAGTCCTCGCTCGTGCTCAGCGTCTCGCCGTAGTACTTTTGGACGCTCTCGCGAACCGCGACGTCGCCGCCGGGGGCGATGATCGTGGCGCCGAGAAGCGTGGACAAACCGTCGGCTTTCGCTCGAGTTTTGATGTTTCTTCGTGATTCTTTCGCGGATTTTCGATCACTGACGCATCGTGCGACGCGCGCAGGCGCGTGAGACACGGTAGACATCGTGCGTGGGTGTTCGACGTCGGCTTTTGGTCGTTAGGGGCGAACACTCGCGCGGTGGAGTGCGGATGAGGAGCGCGGACACGTTGGCAAAGGCGAAACGGGCGACGCGAGCAGAAGATTGTCTCGTTCTATTGGCTGTCGACGATCACACGTCCTGGAAATCATCGGGTAAATTTATCGGCTATGATGACGTCAGAGCCCCACTTGCCCCAGTCCGGGAGATTGGCGCTTGCCTCGTTCACGGCGTCGATGAAGAGACGGACCAAGTCGTTGTCCGTACCCTCGGGCGGCGACGGGATATTCTTGGGAGGATACGCGTTCTGGTACGAGCGCTTGTCGAATCGCCACGCACCCACCTTACCCGGGGTGAATTTTCCTTGGAGGTCGTAGTCCATGCCGTACGTGAAATGGATGGAGAGGAAGTCGCCTATCTCCTTGTCCCACGGCGGCTGCGACTGGAGTTGTGGTCGCATGTCGTGCTCGATCCCGAGCTTGTACGCCGCCAGCGTGTATCCGTACATCTCAATCACCCATCCCCAGGCATCTTTGGCCTCTTTGTCTTTTTGGAGCGCGACTGACATGGACGCCCACTCCGGGGCGAGCCGCTCGAGGTCGTCTTTTCGGATGAACACCGGTGAGCTCCCGATGCCGTCAATGTTCGGGATCTCTTCATCCTTGATTCCGGGCAAAAACCGCTTCACGATCTCGGGTTTATCCTTTGGAACGATGTAAAAGAATGGAAACGCCGCCGGCGTGTCGCCCCGCATGAGATTCGGCAACGGTTTAATGTACACATGATCCGGCTCCGCCATCAAGATGAACTCCTCCTCGATCGGCGGACACTTTTTAAAAAATTGAATGAAGGCGTACGGCCGACTGAGAACGACAAATCCGAGTTCGTCCTCCAATCTATCTACCCTACACGTGGGGATCTCTTCCTCCAGACCGTCCGAATCGTCGTGCAAGACGCGGGTGAATCCGCCCATCTGCCCGTTCGGCCCCTGCAGCGCCTTTTGCTTCTTGTAGTGATAATACATCACCCGCGCTTGCCACCCCTGATACACGGCCTTGTTCGTCGTCATCACGACGTGGAACTTACGCTTTGGATCAGGATCCCCTCTCGCGTCGTCCTGCTCGTATATCGACCCGCTCGTCCATGGATTCGACTTCGCTTTCGTCCCCTGCATCGACTGCGGTTTTGCTTGCTTCTTCAACCAACACGACTTATGTTTCTGTCCCAGGCACCCGTTCGCGTCCGCGCACCACACCCACGTCGTGCATCCCTTATCTTTCAACCTCACGCACTCGTCGTGACACTTCCGAGCGCTCTCGACGAAGAAATCTTGTCCCCACTTGACCACGTCGCCCGCGCCCTCAAAGTGTTCGCGCGGAGCGAATTCCGACAGTTTCAGCGCTCGCGTCGACCTTTTACGTCCTCCCCACGCCGCTTTCGTCGGCGTGGACGCATGCGACGGCGCTTGGGGGCTCTGTGCCCTCGGGGCGTCATCCACGGGCTCGGATGCGACGGGAACGTCGCGATCGTCCGTCGATGGTTCCGCGATGAGCGTTCGCGCATCATCACGAGTCAACTCTCGCTCGCGCTCGACGACGGGGTCGTCCCGGATACTCTTGAACGCGGGAAGGGCGAAGAATGACAAGTACGCCGCGAGCAAGACGAGGAAGACGCGTGCGTGGAGACGGCGTCGAGGAGGACGAGCGGACATCGCGCGCGCGAGGCGCGAAGTGCGGACGCCGGGCGAGCGAAGCAGCTATCGTTGTGTTAAGAGAGACAACGCGACTATTGAGAGAGACTAGGGATTCGATGTTGATCGTATTTACGTCTTAGACGTCGAACCAGTGGTGAGATCCGTGAGCTGTACGTCGCCGCGCTCGACGTCTGTCTGCGCCTCGATCTCAGCTTGGAAGCGCGCGGCGCTCTGATCCTCGCTCACGGGGACGTTGAAACGCACGCGCGGCGGTCCAATTCTCGCGCACCATACCTCCAAACAGTTCTTAAACACGCTCCCGGTGTTGTACGGATTCGTCGACCAGCTGTGCGCGTCTCTGAAGCTCTCGTACGTCGTCTGATTCGTCGAAACCAGGTACGCGTGAAAGCAGCTCAACGCGCCGACGAATAAGAACCCGATGATGGCGATCAAAAACACCGCAATAGCGGCTCCCGATCGTTTCAGCCCATCTGTCGCCTCCCCACCCCTGGACTCATAACTGATGGCGTACCCGCACCCCACGCACGTCCACGCGCACAGCGCCGCCGTGCCAAACGTAAACGACAAAAACGCTCGATAATTCCTCCGCCCGATCGTCGTCCCCGTCCACGGACAGTGATGATCGAACCGCTCGACGCAATCATTACACACAGAACAGTGATGCGCCCTCGGTGGCTGGAAATACCCGCACGTATCGTTCCACTTCACCGTCGTCTCCCGTCCCGTCGTCTCCACCGTCGCCCGCTTCGTCTTCCCTCGCATCCCACTCGTCCCGCTCTCCCGCGGTAACCGCGGTAAGATCCCGGGATCGGTGAACGACGTCTTGAGCAACCAAAAGCACGAGCACGACTGCAACGCGACGCTCACGATCACGGTCCAGAGTCCCATTTTCACTCGAAGTGTTTTCCAGCACACCAACACATCGAACACGATCGACGGCGCGACGATCAACGCGAGCGTGAAAAACGCCGCGCGCGGGCTCGGTCCGGCGACAATCGTTCCTTGACACGCGAACGTCCAGTTTCCGGGCCACTTGGAGTGCACGCGCGGTGGTGGCGCGTCATCGGGCATGGGCTGAGCGTCACGAAGTGCCGGAGACACCGCCTCGAAAACACCCGCACATCGCGACGCGCGCGCGCGCGCGCGATGGCATCGCTCGGAAAGATGCTGGATCATATGCGTGACGTCATCGTTCCGAAATTACGCACGGACACCGCGCACAAGGGGTCGCACGGGGGGAAGATTGCGATCGTTGGTGGGAGCTCCGTGTACACGGGCGCGCCTTTTTTTGCCGCGTACGGCGCCGCGAGAGCGGGCGCGGACCTGGTGCACGTGTTCACGGAAGCGTCGTGTGCGAACGCGATTAAGAGTCGAAGCGGAGATCTGTGCACGCACGCGGTGTGGGATGAGACGGAGATGCGCGGCGAATCAGCGCCTCGGGCGCGCGCGCGCGCGGAGGACGACGCGAAGCGGCGAGTGCGGGATTTTCGCGTCGATGCGGTCGTCGTGGGACCGGGATTGGGACAGTTGGATCCCGTGAGAACGTCGGTGGGGATGTTTGGGGACGTCACGACGGTTTTCGACGCGGATGCGTTTCGTACGCTAACGGATGAGGCCGCTCGGGAGCTGAACCTGGCGCGCGGGGACATCGCGACGCCGAATAAGATGGAGTTATGGCGGATGCTGCGGAACGATTCGATGGAAAGTCCGTTCGGTTCAGTGAAGGAGATAGATCTTGAGAACGTCGAGCACAGAGAGATCATAGCGCGCGAGCTCGCTTCTCGATTCCGAACGCTCAGCGTGCTCGTCAAGGGAGAGACGGATTATTTATTCATCCCCTTCATCCCGAACGGAATCGCCACGCGCGCGCTCACACGGCCAGAATTCCTCGAATTCGGTGATGATAGCGTCGCGGTTGAGTACGACATTTTCGTGGACGACGAACAGTCGGAGTGGGACGCGGTTTGCGTCCGACTTCCGTTTCGAGGCGCTCCGAAACGATGCGGCGGTCAGGGCGATATCCTCTCCGGTGTCCTCGCCGTCTTCCTCATGTGGGCCCGACGAACAGAAGAATCGAACCTTACCGATGGATCCGCAGACTACATTGCGTCCAAGTACGCTGACTACATAGCGGCTGTCGCGGCGGCGTGTTATCTCGTCAAAGCATCCGCTCGAGCCGCCTACGCCGAACTCGGTCGATCGATGCAAGCCGAGGACGTCCTCGCGCGCGTCGCCAGCCAATTCTCCAGTCGTCTCGAACCCGACCAACCGCTCGAGCGCATCGAGTATTAGCCTTAGCCATCGATCACCCGTCGGTCGAACCCCTATGTGTTTGTGTATCATGTATCGTGTATCATCGCGCCGCTTGGACGCCTCCCGCGCGGGGTCGCGTGCGGGAAAAGTCATCACGACATAATCATCGTCTCATCGTCACTCCTACACGCTCGAACGATCAAGATGCCGCCGAAAAAGCAGGTCGAAGAGGAAGTCCTCGGTCCGTGGTCCCTCGGGAGATTCTCCAGTAACCTCAAGGTGCGCGCGCGTCGACGCGAGGCGAACGAACGAACGAACGAGTCTCGGCGGCTCAGGGCTGGGAATGAAATGATCCGAGCGATTTTCCCCGCGCGTTACGACCTAGAACGATCCTTCGAGAGGTGAAGAGTTAAAGGACGAAAATACTGACGATTCGCGCGATCGCACACGCCCGTAGGTTGGAATCGTGGGGATGCCGAATGTGGGCAAATCTACGCTGTACAACGCGCTGACGAACTGCGCGATACCGGCGGAAAATTTCCCGTTTTGCACGATCGAGCCGAACAGCACGCGGGTGAACGTGCCTGACGAGCGGTTTGATTGGTTGGTGGACATGCACAAGCCGAAGAGCGTGGTGCAGCCGTTCTTGGAGATTGTCGACATCGCGGGTTTGGTCAAGGGCGCGGCGGACGGCGCGGGCCTAGGGAACGCGTTTCTTTCGCACATCAAGGCGGTGGACGGTATTTTGCACGTCATGCGGTGCTTCGAGGATCCGGACGTGATTCACGTCGAGGATCGGGTCGACCCGGTGGACGACATCGAGATCATCACATCGGAGCTTCGTCAGAAGGATATCGAGTTCATGTCCAACCTCAAAGACAAGATTGAAAAGGACAAGACACGCGCATCAAACCCGATTGCGGCCAAGGAACAAAAGCTCGAGCTCGCGACCGTGGACAAGGTGCTCGAGTGGCTTCAAGAAGGTAACGAGGTTCGCAATGGCATGGAGAAGTGGAACACGAACGACGTTATGTACCTAAACAAGTACCAGCTCCTCACGGCCAAACCGGTTATTTACTTGGTCAACCTCTCACGTAAGGATTTCGAGCGAAAGAAGAACAAGTTCTTGGTGAAGATTCACGAGTGGGTGAAGTCTCACGGGGGTGGCACCATCATCCCCGTCTCCGCCGAGGTCGAGGGCGAGCTTCAACACGTTCCAGCGGAAGAAAAGGAACAGTGGTGCAAGGACCAAGGCGTGACGTCTTGCCTCCCGAAGATCATCAAGACGGCATTCTCGACGATTCACCTCATTTATTTCTTCACTGCCGGTCCGGACGAGGTCAAGGCTTGGTGTATCAGAAAGGGTTTCAAGGCGCCGCAAGCGGCGGGGGCGATTCATACCGATTTTGAGCGCGGTTTCATCTGCGCCGAAGTCATGGCGTTCGATGATCTCAAGGAGCTCGGCACCGAGTCTGCGGTTAAGACGGCGGGTAAGTACAGGCAGGAAGGGAAGAACTACCTCGTCCAGGACGGCGACATCTGCTTCTTCAAGTTTAACGTCACATCGAGCAAGAAGTAAGTGGTTGACGAATCAAATCCCAGAGACGGCGCCGCCGCGCGCGTCGTCGTTTCCGATTCATGTTGACCCCGCGCACGACCCGAGTTGAAATATCGACGATAACGACTGTTGATTGAATGCTCATAGACGCGCACCCGTCATTTACTTTTCGTTCGCCTGCGCTTCGCGATTGATTGCCATTACACGCGTTCTTTGTCGAAAATCTTTCTAAAATCTAATATAATACTACCTAAGGTATACTCTCCGTCACGACTGAGGAGCTGAGATCTCCACGATGGTACACTCGCTATCAAACGTAACGTCCCCCGTTGACACTCAGTTTTCGTCCATTCCGCTCCCACTATGATCGCTCGCGTTGCTGTCGATCTCCGTTCGATGATTGTCCTCGGGAAGCAAGGCGTGGAAATGTCTCCCAAGCATACCCAGACGTCTCAGCGCTTCGTCCAGGCTCTGATGCCTCGCGCTCGGGTCAAACGCGATGCACTTCTCGAGCCAGCCTCGAATGCGCGGCGCGACGAAGTCCAAGCTCGGTTTCATCCTGCCCGTGGAGATCATTAAGATGATTTGCGCGTCGCTCATCGAGCCGCGCTCGATTTCGTCCGGCACGACGTCCTCGATCACCCGCCTCGATTGACCAAACTTGGCGTAGTAAAGGAGCTCCCAGAATAGTAACCCGATGGCGTACAGATCGCTCATACGATACTTCTCCGGAGTGATATCCGTTGGGGCGATCGCCAGGCGCTCGGGCGCGACGTACGCGAGAGTCCCCGTGAGTCGCGCCGAGGACTCAAACATCATGCTCTGAGACTTCGCCAGACCTAAATCTGAGATCTTCACAACGTGATCGCGCCTGCACCTCGTCCCCATACTCGATCCACGAAAATCCGTGCAGTGCGGGCACCACAACAAAAAATTATCCATCTTAACGTCGCGATGGACGACGTTCGAGGCATGCACGTGCGCGAGGCCCTTTATAATCATCGACATCGCTCGGTGGATCGACTGACCGTCTCGCGGATACGTGCGATCGATTAAACTTTGTCTCAAAGAGCCGTGTTGACATAGTTCGAACATGACCATCCACGCCCGCGATCTGGGTTCGACCACAGGCCCTAAGAATTCGCACATATAGTCTGAAGGCGGTAAAGAGCTCAGGAATGCAATCTCCGCCTTTGTCTTGTACCGGTCGTGTGGCTCCTTGAGAGCCACCATCTTTATCGTGTCAGGGTCGTCCCCTTCTCGCTGCACCGACGCGACGTACACCACCGAGTTTGCGCCGCGAGCGATGACGTCCAAGATGAGGTATCGAACCTTTGTGTTTCGAGATCCGTTCACACCATCTCCCACCGACGTCTGCACGCCGTATCGCGTCACGCCGTCGTTTCTTCCCGACGATACCGTGCGTCCGATGGAATCGGCGTCGTCGACGTAATCGTCGATGTCGGCGTCCGAGACGCCCCTAAGCAGACCATCAAAGTCGCTGAAATTTTCAAACTTGCGTACTGCGTTGAGAATGATGAGAACGATCAAACCTGCAAAGATGGAGAACGGTACGAGTGTCGAGAGACGCCGTGCGATGAAGAATGAAGAGGTATCATTGATTGAATCCGACGGAGGTGCTTCCCCGAGGTCCAACAATGAGGACGACGCGTCGGCGGAGTCGGAGTCTCCCGATCCAGACGACGACGACGACGACGACGACGATGACTTCTCGATCGAGTTTGCCGTCGCGGATGGAAATCCGCTTCGTAGAGCATCAAGCGCAGCGCACCGTGTGGGCGTCGCCCCGAGCGCGTCGCCGACAAACTTGAACATGCGCTCGGTGTTTTGATTCTCCGGGAGCGAATCGTCGTCTTCGACGTCGACGTTCTCGTCCTCATCGGTTCCGGTCACCGACGCGCCGCTCCCTCTCGATCGTCGTCGCCTTCGACGTTCTCGATCGCACAGAGCGCGTCTATAGTTGTCCTTCATCTGCCATCCTATCGTCGTCTCCACGAACGCCGCGAGCTCGGCGCTCGTGAGCTGCGAGTTGTACACATTTGTGAATTCGTACGTATCCAGATCGAGGAACAACCCGTTCGCTCCGATTCCCACGACGCGGTTCGGCACCGCGTTGACGACGCACCGCACGAGTGACTCTCTGAGGCGCGACGATGCTTCCGTTCCGTCATCCGCGATGGGAACCACGACGTCCGTCGCGAGCGCCGCCGGTAGACGAGCGACGATGAATGCTTTAACATTGCGCGGCACGTTTTGTGAAAAACCACTTCCATCGACGCGTAACACGTCCTTCATGGAGCGCTTGACGAGTTTCGTCCCGACGCTCTTCTCGAGTAACTTTTTTGGATTCCACCGCAGCACGTGCCGTTCGTGATCGACGTCGATCTCACACGATCTGGAGATGGTTAACGCCGCCACGGCGTTCACAAAGGAACGTAACCGCGAGCTCACGGCGACAAAGCTCTCGACGTGTTCCGAACCATCACCCACCTCACCCCCATCTCGCGACGACGACGAAGACGACGTCACCTTTACCGGGAACTCCACGCTCTCGAGAAAGATCGAGCGCGCGCTTCGCGTCGTCTTACCCTCGACGAGCGCCGCGAGATCGTCCCAAAACGCGTACGACGCCAACGACCCGTCGTCCTCATCCGCCTCGCACGTCGGCACGTCGCAGTACTCCCACGTCGTCTCGCTCGTCCAACACCACGGTCCGTACCGCGTCCCCCGTCCCCGCGCGCCGTTTCGACACGCCGCGCGTTCGCCGCCCGTCCCGTCGCGCCCGTCGCGCGTGACGCACGCCGCCCCCGAGACCCCGTGCCGCGCCTCGCCGTCGTACTCCACCCCCCGCCCTCGACGCGTCGTCGTCTCGCCCGGCAACGCGTCGAAGTACGCGCACGGGCTCGACGCGTCGTCGCTCGCCGTCGTCGTCGCCGCGCACGTCGTCGGCCGGCCTCGACGCGGGCCGAAGCCGACGGTGGGCGACACGCACGCGCGCGCCGTGGACGCCGCGACGCCGCGCGCGCGCGCGACGCGCGCGACGCACGCGAGGACGACGACGACGCGCGCGCGGCGGCGTCCACGCATGCGCGCGCGGCGAGCGATGGGGTCGCTCGCGCGGTCGTCGGTCGATGACGCCACGAAGAGGACGCGATGGGCCTAAAAGTGTATCATATGTGTGGTCGGACATTTGATACGTACGTCATCAAGAAGAGTACTGTATCACAAGAAAACGTCGTCGCGGGCGGTGCGCTGAACGACGAGGAAAATGATGGGCGTACAAAAAGTACGATATTCGTGGTCCCTACCGGGGTCGAACCGATGACCTTGGCGTGTCTCGCGCACGAAGCGAATCGTGCGAGAATCGATTTCTCTTTGCGTATTAGCACCACGCTCTAACCAACTGAGCTAAGGGACCGTGATGGTCGAGTATCCACGCCGTGTACGCGTGTTAGCTGGGGCGTAGATTGATAAATTTTGACACTCCATTCACGATGTGGTTCGTCGTGAAAAAGTACGGTTGTACATTTGTGTGTGTGTGGGTGAATGATGAGTCGTGAGTCGTGTACATAGGACTGAGGTGTTTACGCAAAGCCACTGACGCGTTTCGACGGGATCGATCGACGAACGCGCGGCGCCCAGGGGGGCGAGCGCTACGGGGCAGAATCTAAACCTCGCGCGTGAGCATGACAAAGATCGCGTCGTCGATGCCCCGGACACCGAGGGGTGATGTACTCTAATACGGCACTTGGCCGGCCAAGATCTCACCCGCGGAGATGATGGTGGCGAGCGAGCCCCCGGCGAGGACGTCCACGGCGGTGAACCCGCTCGGGTCGCGCGAGCCGATGGTTTTCGCGTTCGCCTGTTCCACCATCGCGGTGTGGCTGCTCGCACCGTTGAAGTTCTTCTTCACGCTCGGCATGAGACCGAATCGCATCGCGCCCAAAATCGCGGTCGTGTTGAAGCACACAATCTATCGCGCGCGTCGCGATCCCGCGTCCGACGTCAGTCCCTCCGCGTCGTCGCCTTCGCGTCCGCGCGCGTCGCGTCCACCCCACGCCTCGATCGACGCACCATGTTCTCCGTGGATCCGATGGACCAATCCGCGCGCACGGTGACATCGCGCGTCTTCGTTCGCTGCGACGTGCGCGCGCGCGCCGAGTCAGTCGTCGAGCGTCACGCGCGAGATCGTATCTCGCCAATCGTATCTCTCGTCATCGCGATCGCGCGCGATCTCTCGTCGTCGCTCGCGGACCTGGGCGACCGCGGACGCGCGCTTCAGGGCGTCGGTGGAGGACAAAGACGTCTTCGCGGAGACGATCGACGGGCGCGCGGCGACGGTGGCGTGCATCGTGGACGTGTGTGACGCCCAGGCGCGTCGAGAGGGCGAGGCCGAGGGGTCGTTCGCAGTCGGTTGATCGTACATCGTGCTCGGAGGATTACACTACGGAGGCGTCGGACGCGTCGACCTCGGAAACCTTGATCTCTAATAAGCTCTCGACCGGGTTACGACAGATCGGACAGACGTTTCCGGTGCTTCCCTGTAACCGCAAGTGGTGCGCGCACTCGGCGCACATGCACAGATGGCGACACGGGAGCACCGTCGTATTGCGCGGCTCGGTGAGACAGATGACGCACAAGTCGTCGTCCGGGTTACCGCCGCCGGCTCCGTTCAGGCCGTTATGCACGTCATCGACGATGCCGTAAATTTCTTGTAACTCGTACGATGCCCCTTTGACCCAAATTTTTTGCTTGACGCACCGGGCGCTCCACTTTGGCGCGCTCGCGTCGCCCGCGCGCTCAAACTCCACGTACGTCGTCTGCGCCTGGACCCACGGCTCAAGCGGGGCTAATCCGCCGTTCGGAACCTCCGGAAGATCGGCGAGCGTTCGTGTTCCACCGGCGTCGTCTTGCACGCACTCGAGGCGAATCACGCACGGATAGATCTTTGACTCGTTCGCGTTCGACGTCGTGAGCTCGCTCAAACCGCCGAAACTGCGCGCGTCGATGAAATCCTCGACGCTCTGCGTAAAAGTCGCCCCGAGACCGGCTTCAACGTACGCAACGATAGAACTCTTCGGATTCGTTCGCGCGATCGGGTTCGTCGACGCCGGTTCGAACGCGCCTTTACCCGAGACGCGCGGGAGCTCTCGCGCGACGTACGCCACCGTGACGCGACACGCCTCGTCGCAATCCAACTTGAAACGCACCCCGAACTTGTTCGCATCCACCCCGGGCGGTGGCGTCGACGACTTCTCCGCCGTATCACCACGTCGCTCGCTTTCCACGTCTTCACCCGTGACGCACGTGATCGTCGCCTTGTTCACGTTGACGTGACTCCGAATCGTCGTCGTCTCTCGCGTCGTCCCTCGATTCTCATTCGCGTCCCTTTCCGGGCGTTCGTTCGTTCCGCCCCCCGCCGTCGCGGTCGATGCAGACGCGAGCGCCGATCGCGATGGCGCCCCGGTCGTATCCGTCGTCGCGCGCGCGTGTGCGCGCAGATCAGCTCGAGGATCGATCCCTGGGGTGCCGCTCGCGTCGAACGCTCGGTCGACGCCGCGATCGCGTCGACGCCCGCGACGGGTGGAGAGTGACTGGGATTGGCCCATCGCTCGCGCGTCGATCTCGTCGCCTCGCGGGTCGGGCGCGTCGACGCGCGGTGGAGTGACGGAACGCGCGTCAACACGGATTCTGTTAGGGCGCGCGCGGAGGGGGGCGGCGGCGACGCGCGCGCGGGAAAGTATGAAATCGCGTACGGTCGCGGTGGGAACGACGACGGGTCCGCGAGTGCGTGATTGATTACTCGTGCGTGTGGACGCCGCGGTCGTCGTTCGCGTTCGTGCGGTCGCTCTCGTCGTCGTCGTCGCTCTCGTCGCCGCTCTCGTCGCCGCTCTCGTCGTCTCTGCACTCGTCCCATCGACAGATGATGCCGTTGTCGCACGCGGCGACGATGATGGAGCCATCCGCGCTCACGGCGCACTGTCGCACGACGGGTGGATTGCCCTCGAGATTGAACGCCGAGTTCAGACTCTTCTGGTGCGTCGACGACTTGCGAGCCGGAAACGGCGCGAGCTTGGACGGACCTCGGTCGAGGACGTCCGGTTCGTCTAATCTCCACACGCTCACCGCCCCCTTCATGTTCCCGGACGCCAAGACGTTTCGCGACGCCGATAGGGAGAATTTTAACCACCACAAGATGGCGTCCTCCTGAGGGAACTCGCCCACGAGTCGATACTGCTCGCCCTGCGCGTGCAGCACGCCGACGGGTTCATCCGGGACCCACATCTTCGTCACGCCGTCCACCGATCTCGACAGCGCGGCGTCGCCGCACCACGCCACACAATCGACGTAATCCTCGTGCACACGATTACTCGAAAACATCGGCGCGTCGACGACAATCGTCTTGAACTCGGCGAGAGGTTTGTCCCACGTCGCCGCGTCGCGAAACGATCGCTTGAACGACGGCGTCGCCCAAACCTTGACGCAGTTATCCATCGCACCGCTTAAAATCTTCATTCGCATCTCCGAATCTAACGTTCGATGAATGTCTACCGATAACACGTCGTTTCGATGCCCCAATCCCCCGGCGAATATCGCCATCGTCACCCCGGTGTTCGCGTGCCACAACCGAACGCTCAAATCCTTGCTCCCGGTCGCGATCACCGTCGGTTCCGTCGGATGCGTCGCGATCGTGTTCACCGTCCCTCCGTGTCCGACCAAATCCACGTGCGTTCGTCCCGTCACGCAATCCACCACTCGCACCACCGACCCCGTGCCGCCGAGCGCCAGACACGGCGTCCGCCGCGTCCCGCTCGTCGCCCGTCCACTCGCGCTACGATCCGAATCCCGCGCATCGATCGCGCACCACGCGCAGACGTAAAACTCTTCGTTCCCCGACGCTTCGAAGGACGCGACGACGCGCATCCCACCGTCGTCCTCGCACTCGTACACCTCCGCCCGCGGGCCCGCGCACGTGGCAAACGTCTTCAGCAATCGCGCATCCGCACCCGGAAGCGAACAAAACGCCGCCCCGTACGCGTTCTCCGGCGCGTTCGACGGCGACGCCACCGAGGTCGGGGCGTAGCGCGTCTTCGTGCGCTGTCGACCCGGCATCGCGCGCGTGGATAATTCGAAGAGCGACGCACACTGCGGTGGCGCACACGTCGACGCGCCCATGGACGCGCTCACGAATCTTCTCGACGCCGAAACCGCGGACGTGGTGCACGAGCTCCTGGACGACGGGTGCCGGGCGTGGTGCGACGATCTGAGCGCGGGCGCGCGAGCGAGGGCGATGCGATTGGGGAAGAATGCGATGAAGATTAAAAGCAAGTTACGACTGTCGAGCGACGCGGAAGCCCTGCGCGTGGCCGAGGCGTGCGAGACGTACGTCCGGGAGTGCGTGTGGCGACGCGGGCGGGCGTCGGAATCGGGAACGAGCGAGGAGAGGGAGACGCGCGAGGTGGGTTGGCCGACGACGCACGACAAGTTGAACGCGCTCCTGCGCGCGAGAGAAACGTTGAGGGGGGATAAGTGGCGGGACAAGGCGGAGGAGGCGTCGAGATTCAATGAAACCGCGTTGATTGATTTCGATTGGGTCGTTCGCGCGCGCGCCGGGGGGACGCGCGATCGCGAGTCCGCGCGCGTGCGCGTCGCGCTTCGATGTCGAACCGCCGGCGTCGACCGGGACGTCCGGTTCGAGATCCCTCGCGACGTCCTCGAGCGCACGACGCGATCGCTCGCGCGCGCGCGCGACGCTCTCGGGGGATTGGTCGGCGATCCCGACGCGGGCGAGACCGAGGCGCCGTCGTCGATCGAGGTCTAGCCTCGCGCGCGTCGCCGTCCCGCTGTCAACCACTACGTGTCACTGTTTACCTACACCACACCTAGAAACCCCCATTCGCCACGAACCGCCATCCGCCATCGGTCGCCTCGCCGCGCGCGCGCGTCGTCCACCGCGCGTTCGAACGCGCGCGCGCGCGCGTACGCACCGTCGTCCCAAAGCGCGCGTCGCGCCGCGTCCTCGCGCGCGACGTCGGGCGCGCGGGACACATTTTCATTCGCCCGCTCGAGGCAATCGCGCCGACGTTCGCGCGCGATGCCCCCGCCCTCTGGCGCGTTCGAGGACGACGCCCAGGTCTCGTTCGCCGAACTCGTCGCGGGACTGGACCATGAGGTCTGGGACGACGGCGCGTACGCGTTGGACCCCGGGGTGTTTGACATTGTCCGGACGGAGGCGGCGACGGCGCGCGAGGCGCCGCGGGGGACGAAAAAGGGCGGCACGACGTCCAGGGGTGGCTCACGGCGAGGGGCGAGCGGGACGACGTCCAGGGGTGGATCGCGGAAAGGGACGAGCGGGACGACGTCCAGGGGTGGATCGCGGAGAGGGGCGTCGGGGGCGGCCGGGACGGGCGGGAGCGAGGAGCGGACGACGTGCGAGGTCGACGGCTGCGCCGAACCGAGGAGCGAGCACCGGGGGGCGGGTTTGTGCGACAAGCACAGACACGCGGACTTTTTCGTGATCGAGGGGCAGAACTATGGGAGACCGATGCGGTGGTGTTTCTACTGTCATCGCGCGCACGATCGAGGGGCGTTCAGCGCGGCGAGTCGGTCCATATGTACGGAGAAGTTTATGCTCCGCCAGGGACGCAGGAAGGAACAAAAGTTTCAGACGACGACGACGACGACGACGACGACGACGATCAATAGCGGCGGGCGGACGAGAGACAGCGCGGGCGGTGGGTCGGCGCCGGCGCGGATGGCCGATACGGGACGGACGAGGAGCACCGATAGTGAAGGAAACGCCTCCGTGGTCGATCAGCAGAGGCGATCAATTCGCGACGGCAAGGCCGCGCTCGAGGCTCTGCGTTGGCGCGATCCCAACGTCGTTCCCACCGGATACGATACCAAGTTTTGGGTCGCTCATCCAAGAGAACTTCAGGAGCGCACTGACATGTGGGACCTCGTGCGCAGGATCAACGCACAGGACGAACCAGTGGGCATGTACGGAACCATCGTCCGTGGGTGCGTTCGATTCACAGTCAGAGGATGGGAGAGTGTTGATAATTCGTCTGCTTCGACGAGCGCGAACGAGCCTTTGGAGCGTCGATTGGGGCGCGAGTTTGTTGACGTTCCCGAGAACTCGCTCGAGATTTTGCAAAAACCCATCACTGTGTGCGAGATGAAGTCGACGAGCCCTAGACGAGTTGACTTGAATAACGGCCAAGTTGTCAACGCACGCGAGTGCGGGTCAATGATCGGAGTGGACGTTATCTTCGCAAGTGCTCGCGACGAATTGATCGTCGCGACTGACGAGAACGTAGACGTCATCGTTCGATTTTTCTCCGAGTACGTCGATCGCGAGGTGATTTCACCGGTCTCTTCGTCCTCGGTTTCGATCGATCCCTTGGTGGACTACGACAGGTGTAGTGCCCTGAGTGATCACGTGCTGTCGATACAGGCTGGTGGCTACGGGATTGCGTATCAGCACGTAGCAGTCATCCAAGATGCAGAAATCGCAAAGGAGCTCGCAGAGCTAGATGCCTCGGTCGAGGATGCCGAACTTCGCGAGCATCTTCGTGCGTTCTCGTTCGATTACGTCTGGCTATCTAATCGTGTTGATAGTATGATGCTCTACGGGGACAAAGATGTCGAGCGAGCTTTGCGCATCGTGGACACCGCTCGCGACGTTTTCCAAGCTTGGGGGCGCTCGCCTCGGGCGATGCAGAGAATGGAGACGCTTCGAAGCGAGCTCGAGGCGATGAAATGTTTGGCGCCCGTGATTAACGACTCCACCTCAGTGGCGACGTGTAGAACTACTAGAAATCATCAGCTTGCCGCGCGCAGCGCTTCAGTGCGCCGTCTCAAGACGAAGTCTTACTGACGCTCATGTTCATCAAGTTAACATCCTTCTTTCCCATTTCAACACACTCAAGTATCTAATACAACTAAAACAAAATCAGATTGTAACAACATCATCAATAACACACTGATCAATTCGTTTTCAAGACGACGTGCGAGTTTCGCACCAGTCCGCAATCCGCTGAGCTGCGAAGCGGATTGCATCGTAGATCAAATCCACCTCTTGCATTTTCACTAATTGCGCCGCTTCCTGCCCGACGACGCCGCCGCCAGCCAGTGGCTTTGCGAGGTGTCGCATGCCTTCAAACGCACTGGTCGTCAATTCGCGTTCTCTCTCAGGCTCGCGACGGTCGATGGGTTTACCGTAGCGTTCCCATCGAGCATATATTATCTCTTCTACTACAGCTTGCACCGCCTTGTTTTCGTCCAGGCCCACGAGCCAAGCTCCATCATGCTCGGGATGTTTGAGCTTACCGGTCTGAATCAATGCCTCCACGAGCTCATAAAATTCGTGCTCGCACCCATCGATTGTAATTTCATAATACTTGTCGCTCTCAAAAAATTCCAAGAAGGGCGCGTCATCCGCCGACGTCTCCTGGAGGCGCTCGTACACGTCCGACATGACTTCTTCACCGAAAACATCGACGAACAAGCTAGAATCGAGCGTCACGCACGCGGTTTCCTTGTTGTGCGTCTCGGCAAAGCCGTACCTGTGTAACAGATTCGTGTTGCTCTTCGATCCGAAAGTGTTGAACAGCTCCTCTCCCGCTTTAACGTCCACCACGGTTTTGATGATGAGCGCGCCGGTATCATCGTTATGCCCTTCATCGCAATCATCATCGCTATCCTCGATGCCGAACACGGCGACAGAGTTCGTTCCCGTTCTGTGATTGAACAAATCCGCGCACGGAACGAGACACTCGCCGTATCGCCCGCCCACGCAAAACGCGCGCGAAGCCGCGATCGACGCCGCCGCCTTGTACGTCTCCAGCGTGAATCCGTGCGCATCACACATTTCCTTCCCCAACGCCTCCACCGCCGTGGCGTAATCTTCTTCAAACGCGTCGTCGTCCTCCTCCAGGCACTCCTCGAGCTCCGTCCCCGTCAACGTCCGTCGCTCGTCCTCGTCCCAGTACATCGGCAGCGAACGCTCACCCCGGCGCGGTAAGATCTCGGCGTAGCCATCCCAAAACGACCCCGCGACGGACGATGGACCTCCGAGCAGCGCCATCGCGATCGTCACGTTCAGCGCCAAACCACCTCCGAGCCCTCCAGCTCGCACCGCCGCCCCGATCGCCCCCGCGTTCGACGCGCACACCACCGTCGTCTTCGGTATCTCGAACAAAATCTCCCCGAGCGCGATGTCCCGCGATGCGCGCACGCGGAGGTGCGCGCGCGACGACGCCCCGTCCGCCCCGTCATCCGCGTCGGCCTCGGGGCGTAATCCATCGATCGCCACCGCGTCGCGCGCGACCACGATCTCGCGCTCGGCGCACCACGCGAGGAAGCGGGATATTTTTTCATCCGCCGCGCCCGCGCGCGCCATCGCGATCGCGCGCGCGGCGGCGTCGCGGCGGCGTCGCGGCGGCGCGCGCGCGGGGCGGCACGAACACCCGGGTGTACGATCGACCACCCAATCAGCACCGTCCATGGAATGCTCGACGAATCAAACACGTCCATGGAATGCTCGACGAATCAAACACGTCCATGGAATGCTCGACGAATCAAACACGTCCATGGAATGCTCGACGAATCAAACACGTCCATGGAATGCTCGACGAATCAAACACGTCCATGGAATGCTCGACGAATCAAACACGTCCATGGAATGCTCGACGAATCAAACACGTCCATGGAATGCTCGACGAATCAAACACGTCCATGGAATGCTCGACGAATCAAACACGTCCATGGAATGCTCGACGAATCAAACACGTCCATGGAACGCTCGACGAATCAAACACGTCCTCCAAATGTCGTCCACCGGCGCCCCGAGGGGATTAAAATTACGAATCCGCATCGCTCGACCCCGCGCGCGCGCGCGCGATGTCGCGACGACCGAGCGAGGGCGCGAACCCGCTGTGGGAGACGCTGCGGCGAAGCGTGACCTCGCCCGCGTCCGCGGCGTCGTCGAGGGAGCGAACGCGGGCGCGAACGCCGGACGAGAGGGAGGATCAACGCGCGCGCGCATCGGGACGGTACGACGCGATCGACGAGCGGTCGGGCGATGTGGGGGAGGAACGATCGAGGATGACGCGCGTCGCGCGGGGTGGAGGGGTGGCGCGACGAACGGAGCGATCGCCGGCGAGGAGCGAGACGAGCGAGCGGTATTACGACCGGGACAGCCGGGACGGCGGAGGCGGACGGCGTCTGGAGCGGGATCGAACGCCGCCGTCGAGGTATGATGACGCGCGAGGGATGCGCGCGACGTCGTTGAGAGGTGCCGGGATCGAGCGAGGGCCCGATGGGGAGACGTTCGACGCCGGGTACTACAAGCAACGCGTGGCTCGTTTGGAGGAGAAAGTCGCGAAGGAACAGCAAAAGGTGAAATCGACGGTGAAGTACTACGAGGAACAGTTCGAGGTGCAGGCGAAAAAGCTCGCTGAGAAGCACGAGGAGGAGCTCAGGGGGGCGAGCGAGGAGGCGGTGAAGCTCAGAACGCAGGTGGAGTGGCTGAACAAGGCGCAAGAGTCGCTCAAGGCTGAACGGGCGGCGCGAGAAGAGTTGGAGCAAGAGGTCCGCGCGTTGCGTTTGAAGGCTGAGGCCTCCTCGACCTCGGACGCCGAGGCTGAGATCGTGTCTCTCAAACAAGCGAACGAAGAGGCGATGAAACGCGTCCAGGCGGCCGAGGAGGAGTTGAAAGGGGTGCGGGAAAAGGCGTTTTCCGCCGAAGCCAAGATGGGAAACGCTGATCCCGCCGAGATTTCGCTCTTACAGACGCAATTGGACAACGAGAAGGAACAGCGCTCAATCGCAGAGGCGAACCTCGAGAGCTTAAAGCAGCAGGCCATCGATCCAGTAGAAATGAACTTGTTGAAGAAGCAGCTCAGCGAGACGGAGACAAAGGTTGCGAATCTTCAAGGCGAGCTCGAGCGCGCCAAGGAAGATAAGGAGGCGGCTGATCACGTCAGGCAAAGATTAGACGTCACCGAAAAGCTCGTCTACGAGCTTAAGGCCAAGGCTCTTCGGGTCGATGAACTCGAGCGCACAAGTATGGACGCGGCGAAGGACAAAGAACAGCTGCGCAAGGCATACGACAAGATTCAGGATTTGACAAGCAAGTTGCTCTCTATGACGAGCGAGAAGGACGTACTGGTGTGTCAAAGCGCTCAGCAGGTGCACGTGGAGGCACAGCTCGAACAGACTAGAACTGAGCTGACCCGCATGAAGAACGAAGTGCACATAGCAAACGTGGACAGATCGAACACCGAGATGAACTTTAAAAACGTCGTGGACGACATCGCTCGCGCTCTGCGCGAATACGTCATGAGCGCTATACGCTGGGAAGGGCGCATGTTGAATGAAATCAATGAAGCCCACGAAGAGCACGCGGAAGTCCGACGCCAGACAATGAATCTGGTACAGGTCGCTGAAGCTGACGCACAGCGAGTACTTCGGGAGTCCATCACCGCAGTGAACGACGCTCGTCACGCCTTACAAGAGACCCATAGGCGTACCGAAGACATCATTGAAGATGCTATTCGCTCTGAACGTCTTTGGCATTCCGAAGAAACGAAGACCATGCGCATCGAACTTGTCGAGGCGGAGCGAAGAGTGTCCAATGCAAACACTCAGATCGACGACTTGTCTGAACAGTTGCGCCAAATGCGCATCGATTTACACTTGGCCAAAGATGCTCACGCTGCACTGGCCGCAACGAGCTCGGTACCTTCCATGGTGGACACGGCACGAGATTATGGAAGCGACGATGCGCGCTCCAGCGGCGAAAACAAGGATGCAGAGAAAATGCGCCAAGAGTTGCGCGTTACTCAGTTCCAGCTGCTTGCACTCAAGGCTCGTCTCCAATTTCAGATTGATCCCGAGGTAAGAGATCTCGAAGAGAAACTGCAATTTATGCGAGAAGAGCGCGACGATGTGCCAGAGATTATTGCAGCTCGCGGATTTGACTTGGCAGAGGTTACAGCGCTTCAGGACGAGCTTGAGCGGTGCAAAGCTCAAATCGAGAGGCTCGAGTCCGAGAAAAAGAACCGTACCGCATCGCTGAGAGAAGACTATCTTGAGCAAGCTCTCGCGGATGCTCGATCAGAGCTCGCGGCGAGGGAACAGTCTCTTCTAAAACTACGAAAAGAGCAATTAAACGCGCTCGATGAGGCTACTGAAGACATGGAGTCGCACGTGCGAATCAAGATGACTGAATTGCGCGAAGAGCTCATACTTGCCCAGGCACAGCGAGAGCAGTCACGTGATGAGTTGAATCGGGCTCAGGACGAGCTCGTCATCGCTCGCAGCGAACGTGACGACGCGATCACGAATGTGCAGTCCATGCAAGAAGAACTCGCAGAGATGCGCCAAACCATTTCCGAGATGACATCGTCGCGAAGTGAAATCATGACGGTTGGAAAGGAAGAGGTTCGACTGCGCGAGGACGAGTTGGATGCGGTTCGCAGAGAGCTTAGTAACATTCGATCTCAAAAGGACGACGCTCAGTACGCCCTCGATGAAATGAAGAGTCGACTCCTCGACACCGAGTCGAGATTGGCGGAGGTTCAGGAGAGGAAGCGACTTTTGGAGGCCGATCGATCCCACCAGTCGAAGACCGTGAACGAGCGAAACAAGCTGGAATGCAAGGTTCTCGCTCTACAGGCCGAACGCGACGAGACGCAAACGAAGCTCGAACAAGTCATCCTCTTGAGAGAGCAACTCGAAAACGAGAACAAGATTCTTCTCTCCAAGTTGGAGCAATCTGACGAGGCTCTCAAGTCAACGGTGGCGCAGAACGATTCTGAGCTGTCAGCGGCAAATCAGACCATCGCCTCGTTGAGAGAGCGAGTGGAGGAGGTCGAAAACGAACTCGTTTCGGCGCAAGATGCATTCAAGCGTGCAAGCGTCGACAGAGACGTCGCGAACAGTACGCTCGCACAAGCCCGCGAGGCTCTGGACGCACGCGAAGTCGAGCTCAAGCTCGCCGAAAAGGAGGGTATCGATAAGGAGAACCAGTGTCGAGAAGTCACGGAGGCTCTGCGTTCGACGCAGCTCGCTCATAAAGAAACTCAGAGTGAACTCGAAAAGATGGAAGCCGAACTCATCAACTTGGCCGAAGTTGTCGAGCACGGAGAAGACTCGATCGAAAAATTGAAGAGCGAAATCGAACGGAAATCGAAAGCCCTCGAACAAGCTCAAGCGCTTATGGACGAGAAAACGAAGATCTCGGTCGAGCTTGAGGCCGAGAGAGACGTGGCTAATGAATTGTTGATTGAGGTGCGGCAGTCTCTTGCAGATTCTCAGGCCGAGGTGCAGGTGCGCACGAACAAAATCATGGACTTGACATTGCAGCGTGATAGACTGACCGAGGAGAACGAGAGGAATTCGAACGAGTTGAAGCTCAGCGAGGCGTATTTGCAAAATGCGACCGCGGCGGTTGAGAAGCATCGCGTCGAACGGGATGGGTTGGCTCGCGCTCTCGAAGAGTCAAATGACATGGTGCAAGCGGCAGAGGCTCAGCTCCAAGCTATGTCGGCGCAGCTCGCCGAACTATACCAAGAAGTCGAGGAGTATAGAAGCATGGAGACTACCGAGAATGCGGAGCTCAAGGAGACGCAGGACGCGTTGGACGCGGTTCTAGAAAAGTTCCAACTCTTGCGAGATCATCACGAAGACCTCAAGGCTGAGGTGAGCACAGCGCTTGACGCTCGAGAGCGCGACAAGGTGGAACATAGGAACATGATAGCACAACTCAACAGCGATTACGAAGATCGTCTTTCAACTTTACAGCTCAGTTCCAACTCGGATAAGGGTGCTCTGCTTGTCGAGCTTCTCGACATCCTCAGCGATGTCGTGTCGGCGAACGAAGACGCACAGCTCGCTGGAGACGACACCGAGGCGAGAACAGAGGCACAGTACGCTAAGAAGGACGCTCCTCCGCCGAACGAGGAAGCCGTCGCAGCTCTTACGCGCATAAAGTCCTCGCTTGAGTCATACAAGCGCCAAATCCGTGAAAACATGGGCCCGAAGGATGACGTCGCGATGGAAGCCGTTCGAACAAGTCTACGTCTCCGCGTCTTCGTTCTCGAGAGTCTCATGGATCTGGTCTCACAACGCTCTCGAGTCGGCGCGTACAAGGGCCAAACCGAGGCAGCGACACGTGCAGAGGCTTTCATGGGCGCCAACGTTCGAACGGAGGATCCACCCGATCAGGACGTCGTCAAGAAGCGCTCGCTCCTCGGCTTTGCCCCCAATGTTAACATCGGTCTCAAACTATTCGGCCCGAAGCATCGGTGACGGATTACGCAATGTAAAAGCGCATTATATTACTGAACCGCGACGACGAGCAGACGCGACGACGCGCTCTCGTCCAGGAACAGTCACCCGCGTCCGCGCGCGCGCGGTCGGACGCCATCCGCGATGACCGCACACGCGGGTGTCTTCGAGCCGCCGCCGCCGCCTCCTCGCGTCCCGACCGCACGCCGCGACGACGCCTTGCGCGACGACGACGAGACGTTGTGACCTGGTGGAAGACCGCGCGTAGACCTCATTCTCGGCATCGACGATGCCCAAGTCCAAGCGCGCGCGCGTGGTGTCGCTCACGAAGACGAAGAAGAAGGACCGCGAGTGGAAGTCCTCAATCATCGACCGCGCGCGAGACGCCCTGGAGCTTCGAGCGTCGGCGTACGTGTTCAAGTACACGTGCATGCGAAACGGGACGTTTAAGGAGATGCGACAGGCGTGCGAGGAGACGACGACGTTCTTCGTCGGCTCGAACGCGGTGTTGCGAGTGGCGCTCGGGAAGGACTCGGAGAGCGAGAGCAAGGAGAACGCGAGCGAGTTAGGAAAACGCGTGCGAGGGGACTGTGGGGTGATGTTCACGGATTTGAGTAAGGAGGATGTTGAAGCGACGTTTGATCGGTTCGCGGTGTCGGATTACGCGCGGACGGGACAGGTGGCGGGAGAGACGGTGACGGTGCCGGCTGGACCGGTGCGTGGCCCGAGCGGGGCGCTCATGGAGCACACGCTCGAGCCAACGCTGCGAAAGAACGGTATGCCGACGCGACTGAATCGAGGAGTGATCGAACTCGAGGCCGATCACGTTTTGTGTAGGCAAGGGCAGCACATCTCTCCGCAAGGGGCGATTTTACTCAAGATGTTTGGCCATGAGTTGGCAGAGTTCCGCTGTCGCCTTGTCGCGGGTCTCGTCGACGGCAAGGTCGAGGTGTATGAGGAAGAAGACGAGGAAGACGAGGATGATGAGCCGATGGATCGATTCGCTCACGACGGCATCACGGATTCGATGATGCTTCCTCCAGGAATAAAGTGACACTTGCATTGTGATACTACAAAATTTGACGAGACATCATAACCAATACTTTTTAACGATCTCGCTGACGAACCAATCGACGGTGAACTGCATGTGCTGTGCCCCTGGGATAAGTCTCATCTCTATGCGATTATCGCGATCGAGAGCATCCAGACCGAGCGCGGCGTAGATGCTCTCGTTTTCGTAGTATGGAATAATTTTCGTTCGGTTTGCCCCGGCGACAACTCTTGAGCCGAACCACGAGCTCTCCTTCGGGCTCACCATGTCGTCCTCTTCGAACATGAACATCACGAATCGCTCGAGCGAGGTCAACGCCTCACGATTCCTCGCGTTCTCGTTCGCCTGCCCTTCGTTATTGATCCTCGGTAGAAACTCGTTCGTGGCCAAGTATCGGTTATACCTCGCGTGCGTGGACGTATCCCTAAAATATTGCGCCTGCACCACGGTTCTCCTCGCCCACGCGCTCGCGCTTGCGTATGACGCCGCGTCGTTCATCGCTTGACAAGCCATGGACGCCCGCTCGGGATCGCCGCACCCTGGAACCGCGTCCACGCCCATGTGCTGGCCACCGAGCGTCACCAACGTTCGCACCCCGAGCTCTCGCCCACACCGCTGCACCAACGCGCGCATGAACTGTCCACCCTGCGAGAACCCGACCACGTGCACCGATCGCGCTCTCCCAATCGCATCGTCGGCTCGCATTGCGTCACACGCCGCGCCCACCTGCGCGTCCACGTCACCCGTGTATCCGCTCATTCGATCCGCTCTCGCGCTCGCACCGAACCGCAGCGATCGCGCGCACGTGGTCTCGCTCCCTAACGTCTTCACCGCGGCGTCCATCACCGCGAGCGTCCCCGAGGCGTCGCCGACGTCCCCCATGCCGTGCCAGAAAACAATCGCATTCTCTACTCGCGTCGTCGACGAATCATCGAATCGCTCCTCGCACGACGTCCCGACGCTCACGAAACCGACCTGGACGGACGACGCGCGCTTGTCGTGGATCAGCGCGATCGCGGAGGCGAACGCGCGAGCGAGTCGGCCCATGCGCGAGGCGATGTGGCGTCATCGCATTCGGTTGAGATTCAGCATCGTCTCGAGCGCGCGTCAATCGACGACGTGATTCATGGGATGCGGGACGTCTCGCGACGCGAGGGCGACGGAGACGGTGGAAACCGTTGAGACGGTGCAACCGGTCGAGGTGAAAGCGGTGGAGGCGGTGGAGACGACGGGCGAGGCGATGGATGAGAGAGACGTCAACGATGTTTCAACGACGCCCGAGCGGGAGGTTTCGGATGATGACGACGCGATGGTGATGAACGAACGCTCGCACGAATCGGTTAAACCGTCCGTAACACTAGAGACGTCTGTGGGCGAAGATTTAGGGGTACACTCGGCGCGTGAGATCGAGGAGGCGGGACAGCGTGCGGACGCGTTTGAGGCGTCGAGCGAGCGAACGGAGACGACGGAAAGAGCCGCGGTGCCGCTCGTGCGCGAGCCGACGGCCATGCGCGCATCGAGTGTGATGAAAGATGAGATCTCGACGAGGGAGGCGGCGCTGATGGCGAGATTAGATGCGTTGGAGAGTCTTACGGCTGCGGCGAGAACAAAGTGTCGGATGTACGACTTGCTCGAGGCGGAGTGCACGACGATGCGGGAGGTCATGGACGAAGTGAAACGAGACGCGAGGATGTTCTGTAGTGAGTGTGAGGCGGAGGCAGAGGAGTTTACCGAACGCGCGAGAGCAGCGGTTGCGGAAGCGCGGAGCGCACTGCGCGAGCAGACGAAACGATATGAACTAGCCATGGAGGATTTTGAGCGACAGACGAGGCATCGTGTGGCCATGGCGACGCTTCGCTCGAAGTCGGACGCCGCGCGCGCGAGATTACGAGCGAGTGAGGCCATTGAAGAGTGTGAGAGCTATCGCAAAGAGATCGAGCGCTTGCACTCAGAGCTGGAGGCGGCGCGTGACGAGATTTCTGCAGTCACACTTGCAGTTCAGCCATCCGTGAAACGCGTTGATAAAGACGACGACGTCTCGACCGTTTCGGATTTTGGGCGATGCAGCGGGATGAGATGGCAGCTGTGGGCGCTACGTTTGATTCGCGAGAGCGAGAAGAGCGTTGTGCGTGAAGCCGAGGAAAGCTTGATTGAACTCGGGCATCTTCGAGTCGAGGTCGCCGAGCTGCGCCGTCTGTCTGAGGACGACTTGACGTTCGATGAAATTAGCGCGCTACTGATCGATTCCGCGGAACATTCCGGTTTGAAACATTCTTTACGCGACGAGCCCGAGCCTTACGACTTCTACGACAGTCGCTTCATTCTGTAAAGCTATGTGTAACGCTACATTCGAGACGCCTTCACCGGTGAAAACGGCTCGCTGAATCTCCTTTCGCTATAATACGTTCTAGTCTCTCGCAAGAGCGCTTCTGACGCCGTTGTGGCTCTTGCATACGTCGTTTTCAACATTTCATCCCTCGTGAGGATATCAAATCGTGTTTGCAGACTTTCTCTGACTTGTGCGAGCGCTTCAACCTCGGCTTCCATCGTGTGCACTTCGCTCATCACAGCGCGATATTGTCGTTCATATGAGTCTGGTTCGACGACAGTTGGTCGAATGGTCACTGGCGAGCCCGCTGGAGTGAAGTAACGAGAGCCGTGAGCGATAGGACTCATCGGTTGAGCAGCTCGACCTTGGGTAAGTGTTCGTACATTTTCCTCGTATGACTTGTTGAAATCCCAATGAGCTGAAATCGGCTCTACACGCTCAACTTTTGCCACGCTCAACGAGCGCGGGACGTCGTCCGGCATTTGACCATTGGACTTCCACTTGGCAAACACTTTGCGAATCATGCATTTTCTCTTGTATTCGATTCTCAACCGACGGTACTTGAGTACCTCTACAAACTGCCTCCACGCAAAGAAAAATTTTCGTCTCGCCCTGTCTGCAAGAATATCGTGCATCTTCATCACCGTACAGTTTCTGTGAGCAGTCATTCGCCGTGAGTAATCCAGCCAAGCCACAAACGTGGGATTCCTATGAATCCGTGTGTTACGCGCCGTACCCCAACGAATGGCCATGTTCACTCGCAGCATGTCCTGCATAGAGGAATGCGTCACGCTCAGAGGCGCAACGGCGCGTTCAACGTTCTGCAGTCGACGTTCAACGACTCTGAACGATTGCAGCTGCCTCACGTAGCTCGCCCAACCATTGAAAGCTTTGAAGAGTACTCTTCGGCGCATGCGCTGTAAGCTCGTTGCTACAAGCTCTTTCTGACGTCTCAATATCACAACTTGAGAGAACCAGCCAGCAAATGTTTCACTGAGCACTCGATGACGCATGCGATGCAAGCTTTTCGTGACAAGAATAAGATGACGCTTGTGCTCTGTAGTCCGATAATACCATGCGTTGAAAGCTCGACTCATAGTTCTGTTCTGAAGCTTAGCCAACGAGGAGCTCACCAGGTGCGCAATACGTCTCTCGCTTGAGCGCTCAGCGCGAGTAGCCTCCACATATTCAAGCCAGGAATAAAACGCGTTCACTGCGAGGCGATGGCGCATTCGTTGTAAACTCTTCGTCACCAGTGCCCTATTCCGTTTACGTACTTTCACTACGTCCAACCAACCACCAAAAGCAGCAGCCAAGTGTGCGCGTTCGGCACGCTTGACAAAGATGCGCGCCATTTCAACCGTGCGACGCCTCAGATGAACGAATGATAACCATTGATCGAAGGTACGAGAGAGAGATCGCATTCGACTACGCACCACCATACGATCTGCCTTGATTTCGTTCACTTTTATGGCTTTGTTCTCACGCACACGATCTCGCCATTCCATGAAAGCATATCCCATCGTTCGTCGACTTGCGCTTCCAATAAGTTGCGCTAATTTGTTCTCCCGAAGTTTCTCACCGTTAATAATCGCAAGCCTGTGTTCTTTAGCCTCTCTGGTGACCGCTACCCACGTGCTAAATGTGCCCCTCAAGGACCTATCCCTGAATCTCTCATAAAATCGTGCTATGATTGCGTGGTATCGTTTCTTTGTGCATACCTGTTCATGCCAAGTATTGAATGCGGTGAACAGCACACGCTGCGTCAGACGGGTGAGTGCTCGATCCATTTTCCATCGCTCAATGCGCTCCTCACTAGCGCGTTGCCTCCACTTTTCGAAAGCACTCACTAAAATACGATTCTTCATCTTTGACACTACATTCCCAACCACTCGTCGATGATATCGTATCATCGTGACAGTACTCGCCCAGTCATAGAAAGCGACATGCAGACAACGATAAGTGAATCGTGAGACGGCTCGCGCCAGGAGAGCGCGCCGTCTTTTAATCTCCTGCACGCGAGCGTTCCAGCCATTGAATGCGTACTGAAGCTTGCGCTTCGACACTTTCAGCATCACCTTGCGAAGTATGCCTCGGTACACCTTTGCGTCGTGAGCTACGACCGCCCAGGTATCGAATGCAAGTCGCAGACTATTTCTCTGCATTTTCTGGGCGATGTGCGTGAGCATGCGGCGCTGCTGCGCGTATTCTTTCGTAGACTCTCTCCATCTCTCAAACGCTGACGTTAGCACACGATTTCTCATCGATGCGATGGTCTTCGCTGCCATTTGACGTTGGTGACAGGATGATGCCGCGTGATCTCTCCAAATCACAAATACACGCCTGAGACGCTCCTTCGCGGCATATTTCGCCTGCAAGTTTATGATCTTCTCCATTTTTCGCAAGTTAATTTTTGCGTTGATTGCTTCGCCGGTCGCTGCGCGCCAGGCGTTGAACGAGCGAGAGATTACCTGGTTGGATGCACGCATCAGGGTTGAACGCATCAACTCGCACTCACGTTTCCTGTTCTCAACCTCTTGCATCCATACGTTGAACGCTTTGAACAGTAGACGAGATGTCATGCGATTTAGACACCACGACAGTGTCGATCGCTGATACTTTTGGACCTCAGCGAATTTGTACCAACTCACGAATGCCGATCTCATCATTCTAGTCGACTTGATTCTGACATAGAGCTCGTATCGTTCGCCAAGAGCGTCTCGATCATGTTGCTCGATGAGACGTCTTCGTCGGCCTTGTTCGGTGATTTGCACCCACTCCCAGAATGATAACATCAATAATGCAGCCTTTGATTTTTCTTGGATTTTTTCTCGTATGCATTCAGCCTGCGAGCGCGCGTATTTCATGTGTGCGATTCCCTCGATCCAGACTCTGAACGCATGCCGAAGTCTTCGTTGCTTCCAGTGCAGAATGTACTTTTCCAAGTAAACGAGGCGCGATTGCGTTTGATCTCGCGCTTCCCTCCACGTATCGAACACAGTTTTCAACAAAATCGTCTTTCGACGATCTATGCATCGGGCGATGATTCTCCTCAGACGCTTTTGCTCGCGCACGCATTCGACCCAGCTCGCAAAGGCTCGTCTCTGAGCGCTGGCGAAAGACCACAGCATAGCTTTCTGCCCGCGCCTTCTCTCGGCTCGAGCGTCGTCCATGACCGAGCGCCACTCGACAAAAGCCTTGAACATCAATCTCGACGAGAGTCTGGCGACACTCTGACACGCCTTGGCGTGGAGTTCGCGACTTGCATGCGCCGCGCCTCGCCACGAATAAAATGCCACATAGAGCTTACGATTCGTCAACTCCAACATCATTCGATCCGCCCTTCTCCTCTTTTCGCGATCTATTTTCAGACGTTGCGCCTCGCGTTGCCAAGCACCCACGACGACGCGCGCGCGCTGCCTCTCGGACTTCCTAACGAACGTCGCTGCCGCGAGATGGCACCACTTATCTCGCGCGATACGAATCCTCCATGCGTTGAAATACTCCCAGGCAAGCTGTGCCTTCAACTTCGTGAACTTCTCATCAGCCTTGATCGCAACTATTTTAGCACGTGCGCTCATTTCTCGCCACTCTTTGAACACCCTGCGAACGATCATCACCACGCGCTCGCCACGGAACACCGCAGAGCGACGCACGAGACGACTGTGTGCTCGCGTCGCAGAGGTGTGTTTGCGCCAAGCTTCAAAAATTCTCCGAATTTTCTTCTCGTCGCTTATCGCCATGAAATGGCGAGAAAGAACTTCAAAGGCGTGCGTGCTTGTCTGGTGCTCGCGGACGATGCGCATCATGCGATCGAAACCCGCTTCGACCTCCACAGTCGACGCATCGCCGCTCAACACACGCACGCAGCGCTCTTCGCTCCCACTCGCCGTCGCCGCGGATCCAACAATCTCGATCTTGACGTCGAACGTACCCGGACACCGCCTGTTGATCAACCTGACGATCCCATGCTCGAGATCTATTGCTCTGAATTGCTCGTTCACGCCAAACTTATTTGAACAAAAAGCCAACTTGTCCAAACCACGTTTCTTTCGCTGTAACATCAACCCCGTTGGGCCGTGCGCGAAACCGTAATACGTCGTCATCGGCACGTCGTCTTCACACACCGTCTCTTCGAATACCTCGAACGTCGCAGCGGCGTCCCCGCTCTCTTCTCGAACGCCTTCATCTCGAACGCGCAGCGCGCCGCGCACAGCCCCTAAATCACATTCCTCGCTGTCCACGCTCACAAATGCGCGCAATCGCCCTGTCGACGGGTCTCTCAACCGAACGAGGACTCCCTCACGCAGTGTGTTCATTCCCACGGGCGACATCGTCGCTCGCGCGATCGTGAGCGATGGAAATCGATCGAGAAAACGCTCGCGACCGTTCCCCTGGCGACCGTTCGTTCGCCGACGGCGTCTCGCTCGTCCGCGCTCGACGCGCTCGCAGGCGTGCGTACGCGATGCCTCCTCCCTCTCACCCGTTCGTCAGCATCGCGAAGATCGTCGCGACGTCGTCGTTGTCGTCGTCGTCGTGCTGTGCGGTGTGATGGTTGCGTACGAGTAACGAACACTCGTATTGTATACATGTTACGCGCGAGTCTACGTTTCGCTCGCGCGCGGAGATAGCCCGAACGCATCGAGAGCCTGAACGAAGCTCGAGGGTGGTTCAGCGACGACGCGAACGCTGCGATCGCCCTCTGGATGTGAGAATTTGATCGAGTGCGCGTGGAGGTGGAGGGGAAGTTTGGAGGCTCCGCGGAGCGAGTCGCGCCGAAGCGCGCGCCAGACGTCGTCTCGGTCGGCAGCCGCGCTCGACGCGCGCTCGCGCTCGAGACGCTCGATCTCTGCGAATCGAGCCCGCCATGGTTTTTGCTTATCGGTGAAGCCGTATTTGTAATCGCCGACGATGGGTGAAGACAGAGCTTTCGACAGGTGCACACGAAGCTGGTGTTTGCGTCCAGTGATCGGGACAAGCTCCAGGAGCGTCGGCCCGTCGTCTCCAGCGCTTGCTAAAACTTTAAACCGAGTCGTGGCGGCCCTGGAAGAGACGTTCTCCTCTTTATTCACGCGCGCGAACTCTTGCTCGCCTGCACCGACGATGACGTCGCCATTTTGCACGTCGTACACTCGCCAACCGCCGACCAAGCGAACATTGTCGCCTCTGCCGTCGCCCTCGTCCGTGTCCGCGAGCGGGGCGTCTATCCAACCTTCGAGCGTCCCACGAGGCGGTGGATTAGCGCAAATCGCCCAATACGTGCGCTGAATCTCACTATCGTCGTACCTCGGGGCTTTGCCGAGCTCCATCTCTGCTCTAAGCACCGCCGCGAAATCCGTCTTGCTCTTTCGTTGAAACATCGCATTGAGCTTATTCGCCGCAAACGACGTCCGCGCGAGCACTAACACCCCACTAGTATCCCTATCTAATCTGTGCACAACGTACGGCGCCTCCAGGGTGTGTCGAAGATCGTACACGCTCACTTCGTTCCCGGCGCCCGGAACAGTGGCCAAACCGCTCGGCTTGTCGACAACCACCACGTGCTCGTCTCGATACCGCACCCGAGCACGCAATCCCTCACCGAGCGCCCAGTCGCGATCGCTCATAATATTTTCACCTCCACCCTGGTCTGCATCGCTCCAAGACGCCCAGTAACCGCTCGCCCCGTCGGGAACGCACAGGAACTCGCCCGGCGTCAGCGTCCGCGCTCTCGACGCTCTCCTTAAACCACGCGCGCTCTCCAATCGCCCATCCGGCACCCGCCCGTCCTCCGCCGACGTCCCAACGCGAACCCGACGATCGCGAAAGAGCTTGAACACCGCCGCACCGGCGTGCGGTCCCTTGAAATCCCTCTCACCGTCGCTCGGGACGTGTCGCAAATGTTTCCTCAACCACTGCTTCGCCGTCACCGCGTCGTCGTTCACGCGCCAATGCGGAACCGGCGGGGTGACGACGACGTACGACGTCGACGCGTACGCCTGCGTCGACGCTCGGAGGGCGTCGAGGACGACACGACGACGTGAGCGCGCGAACATTCGCCAGAGACGCGCGCGCCAAGTTTTGGCGCGAAAAAGTGCTGAATGACGACCGGCGACGCGTCCACACCGCGCGTGATCGTCCAGGGTGCGGTTGAAGGGGCGAAACACGTGTCACTGAGCAACATCTGTCACGGACGAACGTTCGATTGCGCGTTCGCGCCGAGAGAACGTTGGGAAAGCGTGAGAGGTGCTCATTTCGATGAAATCCTCGTGACGTGCGGTGAAGACGGCGCCGGACGTGTTTTCGGCGTTCGCGCGGACGATAACGATGGTATTGTAACGCTCGAACGTATGGGTGCGGCGAGGGGACACACGGAGGAGGTGGTGCGCGTGAGCTGCGCACGCGCCTCGGGACGTTTCGCCACGGGTTCAGCGGATGGAACGTGCGCGTTGTGGTCTCTCGAAGCGACGGGTGAGGTGAAAGCCGAAACGCGCTTTGAGGGGCATCCTGGGGAAGTTTACGGGATCGCTTGGTTGGGCGAAGGCACGGGCGCGGACGGTTTGGCGACGTGCAGCGAGACAGAGGTGTTCCGGTGGGATGTTGAGCGCGGGACGCTGGTCGAAAAGGCGGGAGAGAGAGAGGCGATGGATTCAGTGAGCGAGAGCGCGGCGACGCCGGAACGGTGGCGACCGGGATATTTATTCTCCATGGCGCACGGTGGGGGGATGTTGGCGTGTGGGTGCTCGGACGGGGTGGTCCGGATTTATAGCGATGGTAAGAGTAGTCGATTCGGAGCTCTTGTGGTGGAGTTACCGGTACACCCGAATGCCATCGTAGGGTCCACATGCTTCGTCGGCGATGGCGTGGGTTTGATTTCTGTAGGTCTAGATGGCACCGTCGTCATCACAGACACAAGGATGTGGAGGACGGTTCGACGAGTGACTTCAGATTCGCAGCTCACCAGCGCATGCGAGGTTGGTTCGGGAAGCGAGTGGTTCGCAATGGTCGGACGATCCGGCATTGTGCGCACACTCAGCGCTTTTGGAGACTCAAATCCGAAATGTACACTCGAGGCGAAAGATCCCGTGCCCTTGTACTGCGTCGCATCGAATGAGCGAGGTACGATGTTGGCGTGCGCAGGCGCCGGAGTACCATCCAAAACACTAGCTCTCGCATCGGCGTTCGCGACGAAGCGGCCCGATCCAAGTCGATTAGATTTATTTTACTAGTACTTGTACCGGTAGCTAGCAATACAATTTTAGTCAAACAATCCCTCTCTCTTGATGCTCGGCTTGGGTCCGCTCGAGGCCTTTGTGGAAAAGAGTTCGCTCTCTTCATCCGTGTCGGATTCGTCAAACAGAAGAGGCGACCTGGCCTTCGGTACCGCCAACGATATCGCACCCACTTCCACAGTCGGTGGCTTTGGACTCGAATCCTTTCCTGGTGTATTTTTCTTCAACGAACTAAGTGGATCTTCGATCGGTGTGGAAAACAAGTCCCCACTCGAGACACGCTTGGACGCTCCGAACAAATCGCCGTCCCCGTCGGAGTCAGAATCCGAGTCGAAAAGCCCCTTCGGCTTTTTCGCCCCTACCGGTTTCTTGGTAGTCGTCGGTATGGTGGACGGAATAGGCGACAGCGCTGCGTCCGCGCTCGTCGACGCAACACCTTCAAAGAGCCCGCCGCTCGAACGCACGTCGTCGCCAAACACGTCGTCGAGCGACAAAGCGTACGAAGGCACCGCCTTCTTCGCCGATTTCGTGAGCGACGAGAATCCCACACTCGAGAACAAATCGCGTCCGGAATCCACTGCGCCTGCGTCGCCGCCACCTAGTGCTCCAACCGCATCAGGATAGTTCTCCACATCCGCCAAGTGCTCGTCCATGTCCGAGTACTCTCCGTCGCTCGACGTCGAGCTCACGAACTCGCTAGAGATATCAGTCTCCAATGTGTCGCTCGAATCGTCGCTCACTTCGCTTGAGTCTTCGTCATCGCTCGATATGTACGTTCCCCAGCGCGCCGGATTCGGATTCTTTGCCTCAAACGGGTCCAACCCGCACGATTCGTCTCGGTAATACGCCGTCGTCCCTATCACCGCAGGTAGCGGTCGCCAATATTTATTCCCCGTGAGCGCCAATCCACCGTCTCGCGTCTCCGCCCATCGTCCGCGCGTGGCCTCCAGGGCCACGCGCGCCACGTCCGCCAAGTCACCGTAATCCAGCGCGTCCCTAGGCGTCCTCTCCGATCCATCCGCATCGCCCGCGGACGTCTCGCTCGCGACACGACCTCCATCATCATCTTCTTCACGGACGCACTGCTCCAAAAACTGCGAGTTCGCCAGAATCCTCAACGCATCGCTCGTCGTCGCCGTCTCCGTCGCCGCCCGCTCCGCGCGGCGCGCGGCATCGTCCACGCGCGCGATCGTTCGCGCGCATCGCTCCAGCGCCGCGTTCCCGAGAGTTTTCACGCATTCAATCAACTGCGATGCGGTTTAATCGTCAATCGCTCGTTCGTTCGCTCGACGGATTCGCGTCGCGGGGTCGGGCGTTTATAAAGATTCGTTCATCGAGTAGTCGACGTAAAAACTCTCGTATGCGCACCTCCCGATCATCCCCGAGCGTCCACGATCCTTTCGTCGACGCCTTGGACCGTAGACGTTCGATCGCGGACGCGCACGACGCGTCCATGCTCGCCGCGTCGACGTCTACGGTTAGATTTATGATTATTAAATTTTCCTTCCCTTCGCCTCTTCAGTCCCGGACGCGCGTCGTCGCGCGCGCGCGCGCGCGCGCGTCGTCCTCGACGCCGCGATGACGACCCCTGTGGCGGCGTACGACGCCTTGGCGAGCGGTTCCGACGCGTTCGCGCCGTGTTGCGTCCCGGAGAGCGATCGCGCGCACATCGGATACGCAGACGCCGACCGCGCCTTCGTGGGCGACGCCGACCTCGGTTTAGGGTGCGGGGCGCCGGTGACGCGCGCGATGTTGGCACAAGGCGAGGCGGTGCTCGATTTGGGCTCCGGCGGCGGGGCGGACGCGTTCTTGGCCGCGAGAGCGGTTGGAAAGTTCGGGCGGGTCACGGGCGTGGACGCGAGCGAGTCGATGATACGAAGAGCGCGCGAGCGCGCGAGAACGATGATTGGCGAGGGACGGGAGGAGATTTCGGCGGTGGAATTTCGCTTGGGGGAATTAGAGTCGATTCCGGTGGAATCCGGGACGTACGATTGCGTGATCTCGAACTGCGTCATCAACCTGTGTGGCGATAAGAGACGCGCGTTCGCCGAGGCGTTCCGAGCGCTCAAACCTGGCGGGAGATTGTGCGTATCCGACGTTCTCCGGAGACATCCCGGCGATCTACCGGAGCGATTGAGAACGAACGAAGCGCTGGCTTGCTGAGTCACGGGTGCGCATGAGGAGGACGTTTTGCGACAGATGTTGCGAGACGTCGGCTTTGTGCGTGCCGAAATCGTCGTTAAGGAGGAGAGCGCAAATTACATCAAGCACTGGATGCCGGGGAGCGGGGCGGAGGATCACGTGATTGCCGCGGATGTCCTCGCGTATAAATCGAGGACGTTCTTTGGCGCATGTGAGCGTGTCATGAAGCGAGTCTCGGACGTCGCGTACGCCGTATGGCTTGCCCAAGCGAGGCATCATGCGGAGCACACGGACACGACGCCGCGAGTCGAGGAGCCCGCGTGCTGCACCCCAGGTCCGGAAAAGAAACCGGTTCCTAAATGCTGACAATAATGTCGCCCCTTCAATTGACGCTGAAGTGGCGATGATGGACGTCGTGCGCGATTCTCGAGCGACTCGGAAAGTGAATGCGTGAAGAAGCGCGGGTAAAACGCTCCACAGGCGCACCCGACGCTTCTGATTTTTTTTCGAGGCTAGAACCAGCGTATCGACGCAAATGATCGATGTAACCTTTTACAAACAATTGTTATGACACCACATATTTTTTTCAGATTTTTTTTCTACGGTTCGACGACGTTTATCGGGCTACCAGATATGAAGGCGTGAATGTTTTCTGCCACGCAGTCAACCAAGCGCTGTCGCGTTTCCACTCGCTTCCAACCGATGTGCGGAGTCATGTAGACATTCTCCAGGGTGTAAAGCTCGCTGGTCGACGCCGGAGGTTCAACTTCCTGAACATCCAAACACGCGCCCGCAATTTTCTTCGCCTTGAGAGCCTCGATCAAGTCGCGTTCGTTTATGATGGCGCCTCTTGCGGTGTTGATGATTTTTGCTGTCGGCTTCATCAAAGAAATCGCTCGAGCGTCGATTAACCCCCGCGTCGACGGCATCAGGGGACAGTGCACGCTGATAAAATCGCTTCGTTTCATGAGCTCATCGAACGTCGTCGCCTCGTACTCCTCGCACGTCTGCGCGCTCCTGGAGAAGACCAATACCTTCATCCCGAGCGCTCTCGCGAGCTCCGCCACGCGCGAGCCGATCCCGCCCGTCCCACCGACCAACCCGATCGAGCGCCCTCTCAGCTCGAACATCTTCGGTAACCCTCCGAAATCTTCCCTGAATCCATCTCGATCGCCTCGTCGAAGCGCGCCGTATTGCTCGCACAACTCCACCGAGCTCGCCAAGACGAAAGTAATCACCAACTGCGCCACGGCGTCCGAGGAATACGACGGCACATTCGTCACCGTGATCCCCAACTCTCGCGCCCTCTCGATGTCGATGTTATTGTATCCCGTTCCCGCCTCGGCGATCATCTCGATCGTTCTCGGGAGTTTCTCCACGTCCACGAAAACCTCCTTGGTGATTAAAATTTTTCGACCGACGCACATCGCAGCGATCGCATCCGCGCTCGGCGTCGCGTCCACCCCCCTGATCTCGACCGCGTCCGCGTCTCCCCCGCACGCTCGAACGATGGAACTAAAATCGATCGCCCCGTCGAAGTTCAATCTCGACGCGTTGGCGATCACGCACGCCGTCGATGGCGTCGACATCGATCGTCGCGCCGAAAAGTGAAGCGACCGCGCGCGCGTCACCGACGACGACGGCGACGATCGCGTCCGCGTCCTCGACCGGGCGACCGCGTCGGTGATTTTTTTCCTCGACGACGCCCGCGCGCGAGCTCGCGCGCGCGCGAGGACGCGCGCGCGGTGCGCGCCGAGAAGGTGGTGCGTGAAGACGGAACGTCCGAGCCGCTCGCGGTCGTCACTCGCCGCGGGCATGGATTCGCCCGCGTTCGCGACGTTCCGCGCGCGCGTGCTCGGCGATGCGGACGACGACGACGCCGCTGCGTCGAGATCGGACGACGCGGCGACGACGGCGGTGGACGCGTCGGGGGCGCGCGAGGAGCGCGTCGGAGGTGGAAGCGGGTCCGGGATCATAGGCCTGGGACGGTTCCATCGCGTTCGGGATTACATCGAGCATTACTTGATGCTGAGCGATCGAACGCTGATGGAGGATTACGTGGTGTACTGTCTGCACGAGTGCGAGCGCGCGCGAGACGCGGGGGACGTGGAGCGGGAGTTTTGGTTTTACGGAGAGTTGGTGCGGAGCGACGGGAGCGAGGCGAGGAAGTGCGCGAGACGAGGTGAGCAGGCGCATCGAGAGTGCGGATGGGTTTCGGAGTTGGTCGATCAGCGATTGACTCGAACGTTGGCGTTAGCGCGAGAGGTGGAGACGGAGGAGGGGTGGGCGTGCGCTCGCGCGCACGTCATCGCCGCTGAGCACTACTGCTACTTCAAGGAGGATCGAGAGGCGGCGCTTGAGCACGCCGGGATGGCGCTGCGAACGGCGAAGCGGGCAAAAGCGAGGACCTCGGAAATAGTTCTGTGCGAGATCGATGCGATTCGGGTGATGCGATCGACACAGTCGATGGAAGGAAACATGTACGAAGCTGTCGCGCTCGGCTCTCGAGTCGTCGCCATGGCGCGAGAAGAGTACCACTCAACGAATGAAACGCGCTCGCACGAGGACACGATAGAGCGGACCACGTGGTTCGTCGAGCTGTTGTATGAGCACGCGATGACGCTGAGAGGATGGCGCGAGCGATCGGCGCGTCCGCTCACCGCTCCTGAGCTAGAGAGGTACGCCGCGGATGTGTTGAAGGAGGCAAAGACAGTGCTGGAGAGTTATTGGACTAGGACTGGGACGTCGTGGCGAGACAACGCGACGTCGCGCAAGCAGTATATCGGCATTCTCTGCCATCTCGCAGACTTGTGCGAAAATCACCTGGACTCGTCACACATCGTCGTGGAGAAGATGGACGCTGAGGCGTTCAATGCCAAGTCTCAGCGTCTGCACCGCGCGCTCGCCGCGGGCTATCGCGTCCTCGCCTCCACCGTGGATCCGGGCATCTTTGAATCGCCGTGCATATTTTGTGGTCTGACTCTCTCTCCAGCGGATGTCCAGGACATCATAGGCACGAACTCCTTTGAGGATGTCGAGCCGATGTGGGGCAAAATCGAGCTCGTGTCGCTCGCGTGCGAGAGCTGGCACCACGTGCACTCCAGCTGTCGCACGCGCGCCGTGGAGGCCGACGAAGCCTACGCTGACCGCGCCCTCGAACGTGGTCTCCCGTGTCGATACTGCACGAACGCCCGCGAGATCGAGCGCACGCGCGCGCGCGTTCGGAGACGCCCCGTCCGTGTGTCGAAGAGCCCCTAGCATGACAGGTGGCATCATTGGATCGCATTTGACACTTGTATGTATACCACAGTACGTAGCTCAAAGTCGATCTCCACTTTTTCGATGCGGGCTCGGATTCGAGATCTAAAACCTCGAGTCCTGATTCGAAAGGACCCCCCTCGATGGAAATCTTTTTGAAAGCTCATGCTGACGCGGTGCCCGCGCGGTTTGGACCCCTCGCGCCGACGCGCTCGAGCTCTCACACGCCGACGTGCGCGGCGTCGAGGAGCGCACGCGTTCGTTTAACGCGCACGCGAGATCTGGTCGACGATTGATCGCGAAGGAATCCGTGAAGCGTGCGTAGAGCGCGCGAGGGGAAGACCGACCACGGGCTCGGGGCTTGGAGGACAATTGTGGATTCTCGTCCGCGTACGAGCATCGCGACGCTCGTTTTCGGCGTATTAACGCGGGAATACGCTTCGTAAAAAGTCTTCGATCGATTCGTCTCGAGTGCGATGTCGTTGGCGAGCGTGTTCGGGCGTCCGGCTGACGTTTCGGGCGCGGACGTGGGACGGCGGGCGGGCGGTGATTCCACGTCCAGTCCGAACGACCTGAGCGCGGTGTTCGAGATCGCGGCCGGGATGCCGTTCGCGACCAAGGAACAGATTGGAGACGGGCTGCAGGCGCTGAGTGAGGCGTGGCCGGTGGTGTTCGCGACGCTTGTCGCGGTGTTCTACGTCGCGTGGCATCCTAGAATCGGGTCACTCGCCAGGGGGGTCCGGGCACAGGTCTTAGGGAGCGGATGGAACGGGGCGCAGTGGTACTGGACCACGGTGAGCACTATGGTGACGGTGCGCTCTATTTTGATCTGGTTGGCGCACAGGAACGTGGTGGTGAGACGAGCGGTCGAGTTCGCGGGACTCGCCATGGCGCTGGACGCCAGACGAGGACGCAAGCGTTCAGGAGATAAGGAGAAGGAAAAAGCGCGACGATGTCATTCGGACAAGTACGCATCGATGGGACAAGAACCGACCACGTTTCCGAGCGGGGTAACGGACGTGGTGCAGCCTGCGGATTACGAACGGTTCAAGTCGCGCGTCGCGTGCCTTCCAGGAAGCTTGCCCACCGAAGAAACCGGAGAGTGGCAAGCGGTGATGGAGAGGACCGACGAGGCGACCCAGTGTCATTACAAAGCCTGGAGGCATATTTTGCCGTACGGTGGCACGGAATATCTCTCTCGAAGCGTGTTCGAAAACGCCACTGCGGAGGAAATTTGTGACTTTTACAACTCCGACATCACTCGGGACAAGTGGGACGCGTTGCTCTTAAAGCAACACCCCATCGAAAAGGATCCTCGCACGGGTGCGGAGATCTTGTTCTGGGAGCGTCAACTTCCAGTCATTAGCAATCGCGATTATGTCTTTAGCCGACGTACGTGGAAGGATGGTGACTACTACTTCACCATCACCAGGGGTATGCATCATCCAAAGCACCCAGAGAGCTCCAAAGTCATCAGAGTGGATCCGTATTTCAGCGCTTGGCGCATGCGAACTATTCCAGGCAAAGAACCGGGGACGTTCGCCGGTGAATGCATTTTACTTCACTTTGAGGAGCAAAAAGTCCAGCAGGATATTGCACGAATGGCTGTGCGTCACGGAATGTGGGGCGTGGTGAGAAATCTGTGCCGAGGCTTCCGTGACTTCCAAAACGAGCGTAATCAAGACGAGGCGATGCAAGACGCTGGTGGCGTAAGCGCGCGACGATATGTCGATTTGAGCAAAATGCCAAGTGGCTTGAAGAAGCGCCTGAAGAAAGCTATTGGTTTCGCGTTTCCCGTCCTCCTGGGCGTCCTGCTCGCGCAGCAAGGTACGGGCAACGTCTTTGACGTCGTGACGCACGCTCGACGTGGTTTCATCATTGTGTCTCACCGTCGTCGCGCTTTAAAGGCGATCAAAACCGTTGGCGTCGTCGCCGCCGCAAAGGTTGCGGAGCGCGTAGCCGAGGACGACGCGGAGGACGACAGCATCACTCTTCAGCACGTGTAACTGTAGCGCTTCGAGTAGAGGCGCTCTAATACAAAGAAAAGAGAGCTTGCACTATTAGCCGCATTACCGTACGTATTGACAATAACATCTATCGCACTTTGAACATCAATCACTAGAGAGAAAGTCGCACTTGCGCTCAACGATGGCTATGAGCTCGTCCAGATCCGTGCAGTCCTCCAACGCTCTACGACGCTGGCGTGCCATTCCCTCGAGCGTGTTGAGCAACCGCGGCGCTGTCGTGAAAACGATTTCGTTCTCTTCATCACCCTCCACGGCCTCACCGTCCGCGGGCGGTGTGATCGCGTCCTCCACCGCCGCCTCTCGATTTGCGCCCGGAGGAAACGTCAACAAAACCTCCGCTATTCGCTGCTCCGGCGCGACCGACTTCAGTGCCTCGAACTCCGTGGAACCGATGGACACGCGTCCGGCGATCTCCATGATTGCGTTTCTTCGCGCCTCGACGTTCAGCGCTAGCTGCTTCGTGGCGTTCTCCTCCCCGGTCGTCGCGAGCGAGCCCGTCATCGCGCGCCACCGCAGTCGCACCTCCTCGTCCTGAGCTGCCGTCAAGCCGCTCTCCGACGACCCCTCCCCCGTGAGAACATCATTCGTACCTCCCGGAAGCGCCAATTCCGCGCTCGAGACGATCTCATCCAGGCTGTAGTCTCCCAGCGCCGCCGTCGCCGCGACGGCTTCGTCTAGCGCGCGCGCCCCGTCGACGTCCCCGCCTCGCGTTCTCTCCTCGATCGCGCCTTCCGCCGCGTCGTAGAACGACATCGTGAGATGCTCTCTCTCCGCCCGCACCGCCGCGGCGAACGCGTCGCGATCACCGGCGACGTAGAGCTTTTCGAGTCGTTCCAAGAGCTCGCGCGCCGCCGAACTCGAGCCCCCGTCGCCCATCCGTGGTCCCACGACGCGTCCCCCCCCGCGCGTCGCCCGCGGTCGCGCGCGAACCCACCGCGCGCGCGACGTCGCGACCGGTCTCGACGCGGCGTACATCCGTCGCGAGACGACGCGCGAGGCGCGATCGATCCACCGCGTCGACGCACGCCTTTCGCGCGTCACCGGTCGACACCTTTCGATGGTTTTCGCATGTCACCTTTCGACGCACCTTTCGATGTCCACGCGTCGACGTCCACGCGTGGGCGACCGGTGTACACGTTCGCGACGAACGACGACGGACATCTCACGGTCGCACGACGGGTACTCGACGTTCGCACGACGCGTGCTCGACGGTCGACCCACAGGTGCTCGACGTCTCGCACGACGGTGGACCACGTCGTGCGAGACGTCGAGCACCTCGGGCGTCGCCCGTGGGATCTCCGTCGTCGTTCGTCGCGAACGTGTACACCGGTCGCCCACGCGTGGACGTCGACGCGTGGACATCGACAGGTGATTCGAAAGGTGAAATGCGAAAACCATCGAAAGGCGTCGACCGGTGACGCGCGACCGGCGTCGACGCGCTCGACCGATCGCGACGCCCGGCGTCCCGACCACCGCGCGATCGCGACCGGTCGGTCGGTCGACCGACGTCTCGCGCGCGACGGTCCGCGCGCGACGGCATCCGCGC